AGCGGAGATGGGTTCATGTCGATGCGTGTGAGGAGGCTTGGGATAGCCCTCGTCTTTACACTGAAGGATGGGGCAAGAAGATGTCGTACTGCATTGCCTTCTCCATCGACGGAGCGACCGACGTAACGCGACGATATGTACGAAACAATGAATCAGCTGCGGAGCGCAACCGTTGCCCCGAGGAGGTCATGCTTTACATCACTCAAGAGATCAAGAACATTCGGCGAAGTAACATGAACAAGGATGAACGGTTTCGTCTCGAGAAGGAAGACCAGCGGGAGGACGAGGAACTTCGCGGCTACGTAGTGGCATCTATTGCCCAGGCCGTTACCGATCTCGTTCCTGGCGCCTCGAGCTCATCATCAGCAAGCACTGGCCGCATCGTGCCCAGTCATGGACAAGACGTCAAGGTCCCTGCCGAGCAGCTCGTGCAGCAAACCGGCAGCGCTGCTTGGTTAATGGCTCAGCAGCAAGCACGAAATCAACAATTTCAACCCCCTCGTGACCCTCGACAGCAGTAAGACTCAAAAATGATACCATACTCCCTGCAGCAATACCCGTTTCTGCGCGTCTTTTGATCGGTCTTCCTGCCAGCTCGTATGTGCAAGGCGACCAATATATTACTACCGGAGACGATCGGTTGCCACGAACTTTTGACGAATACATCAACGATCTCTTACACGGCCACACCTACGTCGGCCACACGGCACTGAAGCTATCTGATGACCTAAACCATGTGGATGAGTCTCGACGATATCTCGCCCTTAATTTTAACTACTATTTTTTCTTCCCTCGGCTAATTCACCTCCAAATGCACACAAGCACATACGCAAAATATGCCCACAACATAGACTTGGCATATCTCTTTTCCTAACGTCGTCCTGAAACCCCGCCGTATTGTCACATATTTTCGCCATACTCGAGTATGAGCGGTCGACAAGTCACGACGGCCTGTACCTTTAGTTGAACAAATGACGTTTCATCGCAGTGTTTCCTTTCTTAAAGTTCCTTTTGTCCTTGGATACATTTAGGGGTGGCGAATGGACGGCGCATCTCGGACGGGAAAAGGCAGTTGTCTCTCCCGTGGATATTTGATTTGAAATTAAGCTATTCGCCACCCCCCGGCGTTTTTTTTTGGTGCGATTATATTATTTCCATGTCTGGGGACAAGATGGACATGAGGGCAAAGAGATGGGATGAAGGAGAACCTGAGACTGATTAGGTTCAATGGGAAATGGAATTTTGTGATTTACTGCATAGCAATAGATGGCGAATACAAAAAGCGCTCAATCTAACATGTCCTGCATTCCTGGCTCCGTGTGTTCTTGTCTAATTTCACAGGCGCATGGTTATAACCTGCCACGCTTTTCCACGCTGCAGGACATGATTTTGCACTTGAAGATGGGCAATTATATCCTCGCCTGGAGGATGTGTTGTAGGTTGGTTGAACCTTGAAAGGATTTCCGTCATTTGTAGGAAGGCGGTGTGGTGTGGGTTGGCAGGATCGCCCACTTGGGACGTGGCTTGAGGCATCTGGAGTACACTACGGAGTAGGTAGGGGAAAGGGCCCAGATTGACAGCTTCAATTGTGCATGTTTAGCGTTGCGAGAGCTAATACTTGCGAGCTCGTCTTTCCTTTGGGTCCCTGTCAAAAGAGCTACAGTTTGACTTCTCGCAAGAGTCCGAAGTCGCTTCACATACCAGTTTTATTCATTTTTAGTAAAGGCAACGCAAATTCCATCTACGCGTTGCGGTCCCTACGCGTTGTGGCAACTTTGTTTTCTTTTACGAGCGCTCTGCGTCCACGCGTAAAGGCTCAGTCTGTGCGTGCCGTCGTCAGAAACCACATCATCCGTCTCTGCCATCTTGATCCCACTTGAAATAAAAGGGCGCCATATTCTTGGAGAGCGAGCAAAAAAAGACAGGAAGCCCGTGATGAATCAGGCAGTGTTGAAGAACAGGCCCGACGCGGGCTCAAGTCAACAGTGTCCAATCGACCTAACATGCGACGAGCCTGCCGCACCATCGCCCAAGAGAATGCGCCCTATGAATAGACCGACTTCGACTCCTCACGCTCCTCAGTCTTCGTCAACGCCCAGACGGAAGAGAAAAGCTCCAGGGGATGGCTCGTCACCACCCACAGAGAAACGACTGCGAGCACACCGTTCCCATCCGCCACATGCATTCCACAACGTGCATGACCGCGCACTCAGCCAGCGGTTTTATGTCCTCCAACGAACTCCTTGCGGAACAGAGGAGTGTCCTGAGGAAATATTCAAGATGACGGGCTCCACCGGCAACATATATACCGTTCATATTAAGCAGCAGCCCACCTGTGACTGCCCCCATGCTTTGCAAGGGAATCAGTGCAAACACGTCATTTATGTACGGGTTGAAGCAGTCAACTGTTTGTTTTTGTTTTTGTTTTGGGATACTGTTTCACGGCATGGCTGACTATTTCCCAGATTCTTTCCAGGGTGCTCCACGCCCCGTACGAACTTGTCTATCAGCTCGCGCTCCTGAGCGGCGAGCTGCGGTCCATCTTTGCAAAGGCGCCGTCGCGCAGCCCTGAAAAGGAATCTGAGAGCGGGAAGCGCAAAGATGTCGAGGGCGAGTGCCCCATTTGCTTCTGTGCCTTTGACACCCAGAGCCCCGAGTCAATCGTCTGGTGTAAGGCAGCGTGTGGACAAAACATCCATCAGGTTTGCTTCCAGATGTGGGCCAAGACCAAGACAGGAGACGTGACTTGCCCTTTTTGCCGCGGCAAGTGGGAAACTGATTCTGAATTGGTTCCAAACCTGGTAACGGACAGAGGCGTGTCGAGCGAAGGATATGTCAACGTTGCTGATCAACTTGGCATCAACCCCAATAGAGGTATGCAGCTGCATATGCTTTTCGGTTCCTCATCACATGCATTGTAAGCTTGTTACTGACCACTGATCGTTTTGCCTCAGACCACAGCTCCTACTACTCGGGCTGGAATCAGTACGGGTATGGAAGGAGGAGCAGAGCCCCTTGGTATGAAAGAATTGACGACTATGCTCTTGATCGTTACTACGGCTACGATGACGAGGAAGACGATGATGAGGAGGAATATGACGAAGATTAAATGATATGCGAACAAGTAAGGCAGGAGGAATAATACGTGTGTGTGTGTGTGTGTGTGTGTGTAAAAGTGCAAAAGGGGGCTAGAGGATGATATGTCGGCGATATTCTATACGATCAAACAAGCGAATGGGATCGTACCCAGAGGGTAATAAGAGTATACACAACGAAATAGAGAGAGGCTTCTCATGGTCATGCAGGCCCTCTTGCCGTCGTCATATGATGATCGTGGTTAAGCCCGTGGGGATTCTCGGGGCGGACTCTGCAAGTGATTAGCTTGTGTCCATCAAATCCATTGAGGTTGTGAATGTGGCGGCAAATCGGGTGCGCAGCCCTGAACATCGATACGTGTTTCCTACGTATAGTCCAGGCTGTATTTGCCGTCTTGAGAAGTGAAGAATGATGTTGGCCAAGATAGCTGTGTTCGTGCATCCCGCAAAAGGTGCAATTACAACACTAGCAATCTTGAAATCCACTACAAGTCCATCTTCAGCTTATGCCACCCTCTCTTTTGTGTTACGAGAGCTGATGAAGCAACGCAAAAGTTCAAGCGAAACGTCAACATGTGCAGCGTGCCCATCATCCTACGTCTATTCTTCACCGTTGTTTCGGCCTTTGGTAACTAGAGACATGGTAAACATGTCGGTATGTACGTTCATCCCTTGAGTCTTGATCTGAGGCATGATCACACAGGCTTACTTTACAGGATCATCGGACGGGTTTATTCACTGATTCTGTGAGTATGAAGGGGCCTTGGGTGGTGAAGTGACTGGTTATTATTATTATCAGCTTACTAAAGTTCCTCGCAAAGGAAAGTATATCGTTGAACGGGCTTGCCGATAGCGACGAAGCATGATTTGATTGGAATGTATACTTGGTTTGATGTGTTTGGCCAATTTAATGCACGGCGATACATGCGCGTCTGGTAACAAACGATGGTTTTGCATCTTGAAATGTCGAACACGCAGGGCGGCCATCTTGATGATCTGAGCGAGAAAGGATTCATCGTCGAGAATGAAGGCGCTCAGTCTCGGGCCATCATATTCTCCAACCACATGCAGCATTTGTCCATTTTTCCCCCTCTCCAGCTATATCGTGAGTTGGCCTGGATACAAGGAGCAAAGCTGCGAAAAGGTTCCCCCACACTCTATAGCCAAAACGAAAAATCACAGACTCGATACAACCCAAGCCAGCTCTCAAAACATGTACTCCTCTTGCATCTCATGTATCTTATGCATAAGTTTCCGACGACTTCCCATTGTCTCGCTGCTTGCTGTTCTAACTCTGCGACTTGGGTTTCCATATCGGCTGCTTCTTCCTTGTTCCTCCGTGATCGAGAATTTGAGCCACTTTTAGACAACATCTCCATCCAAGATCTCTTTTGCTCTACTTCTCTCTGTAGGTCACGAGCTATCGATTCGTTCTCAAGTGCATCCTTGATCATTTCATCAAGTTTGTGTTTGAACTTTTCACGGGTTTCATTATCCATTGTTCTAGAACGCAATCGAATATTCTTTATGAGTTATCCATCCAGCGTAAAAGTGGACGGCGTTGATTAACTTACAGTTGTATTGGTTGAATCTAATTAATACTAAGTGTGTAAAGAGTTGGTCTTTGAACGATGATGTCCTGGGCGAGACGGTGTGTTTTAAGAGAGAAGTGCGGGGTGCCTCATACATATACTGTAACAACAACGGGCGAACCATTTTGCAGCAGGCCGAACCAACACCAGTTCCGCTACATGAATCTCGGGTAGAAGACGACCGCGGCTGATGCGAAGGCCTCCATGGTGGCCCGCAATGCATATGCATGAATTCGTGGCAAAGGCTCGGCCAGGCCACGACTGGCAAGAGCACCTAACGTATCTACCTAGGTACTTGTGTACTCAAATAAGGTCATAATTTCTCTCGTGCTTGTTGCTCAGCCCGTTCCCCATCCAAGCGTATTAATTCGTCTTGAGTTTTGTCACTCCACTCACGTATCTGATGCAACTTCCCCTGTGTCTGAGCGATCCACTCACGCATTTGTTGCCATTCTGGGTCCTCATCTTCAAAAAGGTTGTTGTTCTTGAGATAGTGAGTGTACCGCTCAGAAGCATGCAATCGACGTTCCAACCTTTCCTGCAGTTCCTTGTTCTCAGGACGTTGGAAGAAAGCAGGGACCACCTTGTCGCGAGACTCATCGTAGAGTCTGGGGTAGATGCATCTGTAGAAGAGTAAGACGAGATTGGACGGATCCAGAAATATATGAGCCATCGGCAATCTTAACTCGTCTCGAAAATCCCAGTCCTGCGCAAGCTGAGAGTGGCTAGGTGAGTGTTGTTTCCTCGACCATAGGACACTCTTGAACTCGGATGAGATGTTGACTTTAGAAACAGCCGATGCAGCGTCATGACCTGTAAGCCACAACGGAGGTAGGAAGGCGTGCCGTGGCACTGTAGCCGAGAACTCCCAGTCAATGACACCCCGGATGCGAAGCTCATCGTCCACGATGATATTATCGACGCGCAGATCAGGGTGGGATAAACAGAAGGAGTCTTCGGATGAGTCAGCCTCTAAGCCGAGAGTCTTTTGAGCTTCCTCCAGGTTCAAAGCATGAAGTGCAAACTCTTCACGCTCAGCCTCCTCGCGACTCAGTTCTTGGGACGGGAGATCCCACGTGTATGCAAGCAAATTATATTGCTCCCCGAGGAAGTCTTTTGCAGTGTTAGCTGTGAAGCGTGGAGCTGTATATCCATCGACCTGGAGTTCATTCTTGCGCATTGAAAAGGCACCGACGACTTTCGGTCCGAACTTGAAATTCATAGTTGATTGGGGCGTGAAGGATTCTTCCCCGGAAAAAATGAACGCCCGTAATCGGGCCCAGATCCCACTTGATGCGTTCGGCATTAACGAGCCTCCTCGAGGGAATTCGAGCCCTCGTAGTTGGGCAAACATATCCACGAGTTCCCCAAAGAACTGACGTCGGTATTCTTCTGAACTATCCCGAAGTAATTTTTTCGTGAGGGGCTGACCGCTAATATAATCCAAAACCATGAACACTTGAAGCGCTGAGGTACATCGTCGAAGGCGACTACGGCCGTATGCGTATACTTGAGGGATAGGAATGTTTGTATGGTCCTGCAGATATCTATGCACACCTTGTCAGTCCCAAACAGGTTAGACACGAAAACGGATGGCACATACTGCATGGTGTAGGCCTCACTTCGAACCTTATCCCATACATCATGGACTGCCGGCTCTATGGGAATCCTAACAAGCCGGGTTGTACCATCGGTAAAGTCAAGGATAAAACAAACATTGAAGCTACCTTGGCGCTGGCATCTGATTTCGCATGGTAAGCCGCCGTTATACTTGGAGGCTAGAGCACAAATGGCATCAGTATCGATTGAGTCAATGAATTCATCGGCCTTTTGATTGCGTTGCCGGTCTGTAAGTGGTCTGAGGCTAAATGGAGACGGCGAACCGCATCTGAAAGTGAAGGCGAGAAGCGACCTCCAGAGATGACTGACGCGCCTAATGCAATATATCCACGGAATGAAAAAACTTGGCTCAATGATTCGGAGCATCGGAAAAGATAAAGAGTAGTGTACATAGGCGAGCTGTCCAGAATTTACGATAGGGATTAAGGGCTCAAGTTGGAGATGCTGCGACCTGTCGCGACCCAAAACGGGTCAGCCAATCACAGAGCTGAGTTCCAAGCTTCTGGCAAACATACAGCTCGCGTCTGATTGGCTTTCAACAAGGACAGTCGTCGGCGCGTGAGACTTTTCTCGTCGGGATCCGGACTGCTAGTTGTCTTCGTTTGCCTAACCACTAGGAGTGTCAGTCGACCGATTTAAGCAGAAGCTTCAGTGTATTCCCCTCCAGCGTGACCTCAATGTCAACATCGAGATGACGGAGAAGCATATTGATGGCGGGGCCTGTGGGGAGAGGGCCAAGCTTCTTCCCCAGCAGCCCGCTTGCCCACGCCCAGCCCACCCATTAACGCGCCAACGCGAACCTCCGTGCTCCAGCCCGTCTCACAGGAACCGTCACCGCGTCGCCTCAACCGCCCGCCTCACCTATTCCACCACATCGTCCAGACGCATTTTATTTTCATAATCATTCAATCAATCCAACTAATCGTCCTCCCACTCAAACCACCGCCATGACCCTCAAGCGCAAGCGTTCCGAGCCCGAGCTCTGCTCGTCACCCTCCTCATCCTCCTCAATCTTCAGCTCACCACCTAGCAACTGCGCAATCGACGTGAACCCGCAAGCTTTTTACAATATGCCAGCCGCCCACCTGAACAGTCGAACATTTAAACGATTTCGAGATAACAGGCCGTCAGAAGAAACAGTCCACCGTACGTAACCATTGGATACCCTCGCGCGAGGACTAAGAACTCAACCCGCTTACAAATGCATAACAGAGCATACACTGAGTCTACTGTTCTCAGCCCAGCAGCAACAATCACAAACTGTCCAAGAAACCAGCCACCAGCCTCTCCCCCAACCAGGGTCTACATCTCAGCCGCGGAAGCAGCAGTCTCTCCATCGTTTTTGGAGCATCAATTCAGCGCCTACGCCCGTCAATGAATCGGCTGTTCAGCAGCCCGCTCTTGCACCGACGAGTTGCGAGGACTGCGGAGCGGGTCTAGGAACCGGCGGCAACGGTCATGACATGGATATGGACGATTTGACGGCGGATAACACGACGTGTGGCGCTTGTGGGAAGCACGTTTGCTTCAGCTGCTCGGTGAGCAATTTGGGCGAGGAGAAGCGGTGTCTGCGGTGCGCTGGGAGGAAAGCATTTGGTAACATTGGCTGGTCCAACATGGGGGTGTCCTTGTGTTGAAGATGATGTAAAGGCAATGGAATCTGAGTGGTTGGGTCAGCAGTCAGCATGTGAAAATGGCGTTTATCAAGTTGATTTCGGGCTGCTTTGGCGTTTTAGGATGGGATAATAGGCGTATCAAGCGAATAGTGCAGGTGACACCAATGGAAGAATGGGCTGGTATGAATCTACTTGGGGTATTCACCATGGATAGAATTAGGCATATGGTTGTATTACATGAACATCATGATGCAAAGGACATGACTCCAATGGTAAGCCATAGTGTGTGGTGTACCTGGGCGTGAGTGAAATAGCACATGAACTTGGTCGCATTTTAGCGTGTCATTATTAATTATATTCGTGGTGCACAAAACTGATGGCACAAGGCGCAACAAAACAAAACAGCAAATCATGGAAGCTAGCCACGACGGCGAGTGGTTGGTCCCTTTTTAGGAGTTCCAGTTGAACTAGGTTTGGCCTTGACCTCAATCGGCACTGCCTTTCGCTTTCCCTTGGCCTTTTGCGAGGGGGTGTTCCAGTAGTAGATCATTTGCAGAGCCAGGACAAGATTCAAAGCAAAGCCGGAGATGAAGCCATAGAGGATAAGCTTGTCGTCCACCTCTTGGAGGGTAGTAAAGATTCGAGAGAGAGAACCAGCGAGGTAATTGAAGACCTAAAAACTCATTAGCCCTTGGCCACAAAGACAAGAGTGGGAAGCACATACAGCAAAGGCGCTGAGCTGGCCAGTACCACCCTCCTGCCAAATGGCCAGAATCTGGGGAAGCTTGCTCGCAACGCCCAGGACACCCGCACCGGCCTGCAAATAACTAAGGGCCTTCATATCCAAAACATTCTCCGCAAACAACGCGGCAACACACCCAGCCAAAGCAGCCACCAACACAGCAGCCATGCTTGCCTTCCCGCTGTAATTCAACACCAGCACGGAGATGATGATATTTTGACCCAGGATCAGCGCCGTCTCGCCAAAGGTGCTGAAGGGGAAGCCGTTGCGGACATTGTACGCGAGAGTGATGAGGTACGCGCTCGTCTCGAGGAGGTACGACAAGAATGAAACGCCCTCCGCGGACTTGGAGTTGACGAGTTTAAGGATCTGGGGCACCTTGACGATGGAGGAGGCGGCGATGATGCCGATGCCGAGGCCCTTGGACACGGCGAGCTTGAGGCATTCTGTGTTTTGGAGGTCCACGTCGAGGAGGAGGGTTTTGTAGCACTTGTCGCCGATGATGGAGACGCCGAGGTCGCGAATCGGAGGTGGGAGGTTGTGGGTGATTGGCTGTATGGCAGTTCGAAGAGCATCCATGGTGGTGGTTTGACGTTGAGGCTGGTGATGCCTAGGTGGACAGGGGGATGCCGTGCTGCGAAGCAGCAAAACGTCGGGAATGCTGAATGAGATTGTCCCGTTGGCTGGTGTACCAAAGAGGGAAAATGGAGTCGCGATTGTAATTACCCTGACGCTAGATGGTGATGTTGAAGGAACCGTGTCCAACCGCGGATGCAGAAACTTGGGCAATTGATGGAGCGAGGCAGTGTGAATTTCCAACTCGCGACGACGCGCGGGTCAAGGTTTGCGACTGGGAACGGCGCAATGACGCAGCGGGTGGTGGCTACCCTATAGCTCATTGTGCCGTCAAGGGATTTTGAGAGCTGTGCATGGTTGGTCTTCGCGCAACAAAAATCATGCAATTGTGAAATACCTACGGAGTACATACGGAGTAAGTGCTGGGTAATCAAGACGGCCTGCTGCCGCTCATCCAAGACACTCTGCTCCTTGTGGTGCTGGGTGCAACTTGTAAGAAGAGCACATGTTCTATGTATGGATAGGAGTCTGACATTGTAGGATCATCTGCCAACACTACTCACACGATGCGCGAGCTGGAAGCAGAATTCTGCCCAATGTTTGTGCTTGTTTGTGCCTACGTCAGTGTTTGCTAGCTACGCCGTAGTGTTCCCTGAATTAGAATTTCGTCTAGTTGAAACCCTACACGGGGAGCAAGTACACGCGAGTGATCTGTGAGGCGTGCCACACGAGAAGCAGCTGGAACGGAGTTGGGCAAAAGAAACAGGCAGCCAGATCCTTGTTAGCGAGATGCGGCCCTCAACGCCAGCTGTTCCTCGACATATGGCATCTTGTAGCCTCGCATATCTGGAACTCTGCGTCTTGAATCCCCAGCAACAATGACTCTTTTATTTCTATATTCAGTAAGCGTGAGGCAGTTTGTACGCGGCGGTTGGCCTGGATGGCGGCGCACACGTCACGTTAAGAACAAGACCGGTAACTACTCGGTAGGCCGAGGCCGGGCCAGGCCAGGCTAAATAGAAGCTGCACCGCCACCGACCGACTGCGGGTGGCCTTGACCGCCCATTACAGGGAGCCACAGACACAGCGCCAGCTGTATTGTGGTCTGATGTGTTGGTGAGTGAAAGCCTAGGTACCCAGGTATCTTGGTAGCTGGCCCGAGCGATGGTGGTCATGGCCGTGGCCGTGGCCGTGGTCGTTTCCCACGCCATGTACGTATGTATGTAGGCAAGTTGGTGGCTCGCCGAAATAGGACATGGATGACACAGATGATGGATGCACATGTCAGCCCACCAGCACATGAGGCACACAAAAGAGCACCAAGGGGACGAAAGCGACGATGCGGACGCACAAGGTGGACAATGACAGACATCGACGACGACATGGCCAAGGAGGGGCAGCAGGCGCTTGACTTCCCACTTTCCACTGGTATTAATAACTATTAGGCGGCGGCGACGGGCGGCGGGCCGCTCGCACTTGGCTCTAGTTTAGCACCATGACTGAGCCCAGATCCTCTCGACCCCGGCAGGTCACATTGGGCATTCAGCGTTGCGGAGAACACCAGTGTTCGTCACGGCACCGTTTCACCCCGTCTTGGTTGAAGGTGTGACATCCTGATGCTGTTAAAGTAGGCTGCGTCCAGGCAAGACCAGCCGAAATCTCCAGTCACACGATTCCGCCGCCGCCGCGCACCAACCCAACCACCACCACCACCACCATCAAGCATCTAAAGCCTGCCCTGCCTGCCTTTTCAGCCTTTTGTCTGTCTCCTGCACCGCTTGTCTGCGGCGGTCTTTGTACGTCGTCATCTGGGCTGCCCTCGAAGTTGTTGCTGATACATTTGGTCTTGTCCGTACGCATGTGCTCGTGCCCGCGACTTGCCCACCGCCTTTACCGTCGTCTGTTCCGAATGTCCTGTCGTGCTCCCACAACCAGTCAATCAATTCCAATTTTCACCAGCTACACATCCTCCACTGCCCCCCGGAATCATCTAGCCTCGCCCTGATAAAACCATTGCGTTGGATGTGAGCGACGCGGCGGCTTGCCATGTCGTCGCCTTCCTCTGATGCATCGCCCGACTCGGCGGTTCAATATGCTTACATGTTTGAGAAGGATAAGGGCCCTACAAAACAACTCGATGCCCTTTTGAGGGCTATTGCCCGCCACATTGTAAGGCACCATGCAACCCTGCCCTCTCTTTCAAAGAGGTCCGCCGTCGAGCTGGATTTGGCGTCACAAGACCTGCAAGCTGACGCCGTGTTGCTGTAGATGCTAGAGATTGGTGAGAAGACGGAAAACCATCTCACACCAAGTAAGCTGGCTGCCTTTTACAAGGCTGTTGGCGGCGACTATGACTGTGCGTTCACTACAAGAGCTGACCAGAAACAGCTCGCCTCCTTCGCCCTGGGAAAGTCGTCTATGCTAACTTTGCTTTGTCTTCCTAAAGCGCTCTTCGTGGACACGCCGCACTCGACTATTTCCTACGTCTGGCAAATCACTGGCTGCCAGCATAGCCTCCAACCCACAGGCAATGATTTTGACCCCCCATCAATACCAGCCCTTACCTACCGCGGCTTCTCTAGATGGGAATCGTTGGAGATCTTGCTCGGACCCGAGGAGCACGTTCCATTTTTGCAATATGCCGTGAAGGAGTGGAACTTGAAACACCCGGAAACCGGCGCAGACTTCCCCGTCGACTTACCTTGGACTTGTTTCCCGGAGAAACCTGACCAAGACATTGATCGCTGGCACAAGAGTTGCGCAGACAAGTTATGGACGGCAGCATCCAATGATGACGGGGCCACTCCAAGGCCGTCGCCTGCAAATGAACAGCCTCCTCCCCCAAGGTTCACCTACGCCCATTTCCAGGAGCCTTTCTCATTCACCTCCTCTCCGCGACCGAGACCAAGTGACGCAGATTATTTTGGACGACACATGTCATATACTCACGTACCACGTCGATACGCCACTCAACGCAAAGCAGAGAGGTCTCCAGACAGACCACGCCGCGGTGATACGCCGCCAGATGACAGAGGGAGGAGGAGGAGCTTTTCCGATTATGCCTCTGGCGTAGACCCCTCTCTGCCAAGGGGGTATTCACCAACGTATCTGATTCCCAACATGAAGAAGTCAGGCCCAGGGAGGAGGCATAGCCATCCAAGACACGAGATGACTGATTCATCAGACGACGAGCCGGTTGGGGATCCTAGAGAGAAGCGACGGCGTCACCCAAACTCCCCACCCCCTCCGTCTGTCCGCAGATTTGTACGCACGGGGGCTACTTCACAATCGCAGGGATCCTCCAATGGGTCCAGCCATCTTCGTGGGCTACGACCAGACGGTCGACCAGAGGAAGCGAAGAGACGCACCGGACCAAGCCCGTTGGGCTCCCTCCGCGATAAGTTCACGGAGACCGTCAGCAGTATTCTTCCAAACGGCCTCACCTCCGACCGGCCGCGGCCCGGCTCAAGACAAAATTCTGGGACGGAGCCTATTCGCGCACGGAGGAGTCGGGAGCAGGTTCGCCCTTCACGTTTAAGTCGAAGCTATTCCGACATGGATACGGATGAGTCTGGAGATCCTTCCGTGACAGAAAGCGATGGCCGGAGGAGGCGCCGAACGCGGGAGGAGCGTGAGAGAGAACGAGAACGGGAAAGGGAGCGATATCAAAGGGGACGGGTTCGCGACCATGACCGTGACTGGGAAGAAGACAGGGACATAGGTTTGAGGAGAGAGAAGAGCTATTTACGGCGGCCAGAAACACAGCGAAGGACAAGCAGCCATGCCGATATTGATAGAAGGCGAGACCCACCAGAATGGGACCCTCGCGACAGGGACCGAGAGAGAGACAGAGATCGCTTGAGAGACGAGAGGAGGAAATGGGAGAGACGGAATTCTCCGGAGGAGGATTTAACAAGCCCAGCAGCAGCAATGGCGGCCAGGCATGTGCATCCTGAAGCCGCATATAGCTGACGGGACCTAACACAACCGCCGATGAGGATGCAGGAAGCTGCCCATTTACCCTACCAAGAGCATCATACTGGAATCTGTGAGGTGCTGCATAAGTTTTGTTATATGTTTCATTGACGGATTATGTCCAAACGATATACGAAACGCACTTATGATTTTTACGACACCACAAGCCACGTTTATGAATTTGATGGGTGCTTAGCATCGGAAGGCCCTGTATGGGGCAGCCAATTCGTAGCGTAATAGATTTGTCAGCTCAAAGCCATCTAGTAACCAAACAAAAAAAAAGGAAGGTCAGATAAAATAATGCAGTGGATTGTGGATGAGATGCACGGAGCAGCTGTGGTGTCTTCGGAGAGGTCAACTCAACACACAAGACATTGCGGGTGAGAATGTGACTATTGCTAGATTGATGGAATTTTCCGAGTGTTACCCGTTCGCTAAGCTCATGGGGCCAGGAGACCAATCTCAGGCTGTTTAATCCCGATGACATGAGTTGTAGCTCCTTGCTACCGTTGGGATGTTGACGTTGGGAGACAAGGAGCATTTGACCGGATTGGGTACCGGGCTATCGCGCATTGAAATATAATATATTATAGCATATTTTATATACTTCCTTAGTGGGCATATATATTCTGCTACAGACATAAGAGTCTCGGGTGTCTCTTTCCAGAAACATATGATTGGTAAGTTATTATCGGAACGGTTTAATATGCTCATGGTAGTATTGAGATATATACTCCACCTAGTTCCCGACTTGGGATCAGGCTGAAGCGACGAATCAAAAGGCCTGTTGACGGACCGTGTGAGCTTGATGCATGTCAGAGGCGGCCAACGGGAAGGCGGTCGAGGGGATTTTTCTTCCATTCTGGAATTTACTCGTGGTGGGGTTACATGGCAGGGAGGATGAATCCACTCATCTTGGGCTGCAAGACTGACTGTCAATGTGGACGAAACGGCGTACAGACAGACTCGCTGATTGGCAGTGCCGGTTGCGGCCAAGGCTGGCCGAGATGGAAAAATGAATGAAATTAATTTTAGAAGTTGAAATCTACGGAGTACACGAGTCGGGATGCATGTCTGGTAGCCCGACACGGAGGCGGGCATGGAAAACGAAAGCGTACTGGTGCAGGCCAACGTGGTCTGCGGCTGCTGAGTCTAACAGTTGACGCTGGAGTTTGACGTTGCTGACCGTCAGGATGGTGAATTGCTGCGGCTGCTGCATCGTCCTTCGGTCTGTTTCCACGGGCGTCCAACCCGTCATGCCTGGCTGTCTTGCTGCCTTCATATTCTCTGGTATATTCTAATCCGATAGGCAAGCTCCCTATATCAAAGTGCGAGCAGGGTGTAACGTCATTACAAAATCATCTACTCCGTATTTTTGCAGCGTTTGATTGCTGCCCGATTCAGAGTGTCTTGACTCTTTGAGTCTCGAGTTGGCGCTTCTGCTTTCGGCGACGTTGAAGGCCAAAGTACCCAGTCTTTTGCAAGCCCGGTTATCTCGACAACCATCAGGACGTCATCGCCTGAATTGTTATTGTTATTTCTATTTTTCCCACCCTCGGGCTGTTGTGCGACATAACAAGCAAGTTGTCGACGGCAACTGGCTCAATGACTTAGCGCCTGGCTGCATTGACAAAGTGACAAAGCACCCAACATTGAACATTGAAGCGACATGGACCCACGGCTCCGATAACAACCGACCCCCAGCTTTCTTTCCGCCCAAACTTGGCCGACGACGGTCCAAGTGCAACACTCCCGCTTCACGCTACCCACGCCGCCACGCCGCCGCCTCTTTTGTCTTCCTTGGCTGCATCAATCAAGACTTCAATTTAAGGAGCGTGCGATACGGCACTTCACCTTCGTTTGCGCCCACACTCTTGGACACAGCTGTGCACGACTTTATCATTCGCTGAGGCGGCAGCATTCAACTTGGCCGTCGTCATCCGCCATCTCAGCCTCTCCCGCCTCTCACGCATGAACGGGCTTACTTGTCCGGCTGAGTGAGCGAGTCCTTGCCTCGTCTTTGCCCTTTCGCCGCCAACAATCCCTTGTGCCACCGCTACAAAAGCCGACTGCGACCACTTTTCGACCGGATAGATATTAAGCCTGCTGAAATATACCCAGAATTTTACGCCCGGATATCAAACTAGTAGCAAAGGGACACAATGAAGGGCCGTCCAGTCGAAGACATTGTGTACGACCAGCTCTACGCCAAGCCCAAAAACAACGATCCGCAAAACTTCCAGACGTTTCTGCAGCGCCATCTCATTCCCGAAGTCCGCCAGGAGACGCATGCCTTTTACGGACACCTCGACACTCAGGAGGCCAAATATCCCGGCCTCGATTACACTCACCCGACGCATAGAATTCGCCTGTGCCGCTGGCCATGGCACAGACGCCTCTTTCGAGCCTTCGACACCCTGCGCCTCACCAAAGCCGAAATCTGCGGCCTTACCAAGTGGGAGGGCACCAAATGGGCAAAGGAGAAGTTCGAGAAGGAGCAGGGAATCACCGTTAGAGACACGACCGCAGACGAGGTATCCGACTGGGTACCGCCCCCAGAGGTCCAGCTGCCCGAGATCTCGAGCACCACCCAGGCTGAACCCGAGCAGGTGCAATCCACCACGTCGATTCCGGCCCTCGGCGTGTTGGGCGATGAGGACGACGCCAACCAGGAAGATGAAAGCGATGGCGAGTTTGAGAGTGTCGGCGTGTACCTGAACGAGCGGCTTCGTGACCGTGCAACGCGCCGCGAGGCCGGAGACACATCCATCGTCCTTGACGAGGAGTGGGAGCAATGGCTCAAGAATGCCATTGACTCGGGAGAGCTGGCCCTTCTCACCGAGCAAATGACGGAGCAGATGATTCGCAGAGCACCAAGCACATCCGTTATCCCAGCAGCTCTCATCCCCCCGCGCATGCTCACCGCTGCTCGAGCCGGCCAATGGTCCGAAATCCCCGAAGTGCTGCACCCCATGCTCCTCCGAACTCTGGAAGCCGAAAACTCTAGCCTCCGTGCTGAATCCCGAATATCCCGAGTCACTGCTGCCGGCGCGGCGCCTCACTCCTCTCTCCCCCGCGCGACTCGCCCGACAATTCGTCTTCCCAATGCACAGGATGCGTTCTAGATATGACTTGAAGAATACAATACAACACGGATCCCTCCCCCAAAAAAGGTAAAAAGGAAACAAATAAGAAAAGAAACGGACCTACGTTTTTGATAAAATGGGTAGAGACGGGATATACATACTCATGAATCTCACGATATTTCTTTGCTTTTTTTTTCCTTTGCAACTAGTCGAAAATAGCAGTCAATGTTCAGAGACGAAGCATCTCTGTCCAGATGGTCACATTTTTTCTTATTGGGTACTTTTACCGTATCTTGATGATACCGGATTTAATAGATGCGACTGACGTCCACGGGTTATTTTCTTTCCTTTGTTGATAATGCGAACCAAAGATTGCTCTGGCGTTGGAACTTTCATGTATCATGCGGGATCAGAATATAAGAATGGTTTTTTATTTTCGTGCGTGCTTGAACCTTGGTGTGCGTTATACGTTGCTCTTTTTTAATTCTGGTCTTACGGTAGCTTGGTTTGGTGTTTGCTTTTCAATAGTGCAATATGGTGAAATTGGCTGGCGGAGGCTACCTAGGTAGGCAGGTATGTAGTTGTTGCCCTTTTTTCAAGTTAAAGTCGCGGATACAAGTCTACTGGTCATGCCTTGCCTCGGCTGCCTTTTCTGCAAGAGCAGTCAAGGATGTTACTGTGGCTGGTTGGGAACGAATGGCAATACGACACAGATGCTTCATGGGCACGGCGGGGATTGGGTACGCGCGTAGTTACAGCTGATTACCCTTTTCCGTTCCCCTGCCGGATACTATGCGGTGCTGGCACATCTCGTCGTCGGATGACAGTCCCTGATGATATTACCAAGTATCCTCGACGCTGATACCCATCCGGCGTACAGGAGAAACATCATTGTTATACGCAAAGGCCAAACCCACCAAACGCCACGCTAATCCCCATAAAATCGTAATTCCACACTAAGCCTCTACCCTGCCGCACTCCCAGACTATTCTGTACGGGTATCCGCGCCTCGCGATGACAATACCAAGCGGATCTTGCGCATTGGAGCGTGGAAAGAATTCTATTTCTCCGGCTCGAGGTGCGACCACTCCGGGATGGCCTTGATTTGCTGCCACATGAATTTCTCGAGCTTATTAGCTGACTTTGCATACGGCGTGTTCTCGTTATTGTACTTGCGACAGTTGTCAAATATGAGCTTGGCGTCTCTGGTGAAGTCCTCCGGGGTGGCGTACTGGTCCGCCTCGAGCTTGTTCTCCATGGTGCTGAGGTCCATGGGCTCTTTGATGACCTCGTAGTAGTCGGCCACGTCGTCGCGGTTAACGGGGACGAGGAACGGCCACGCAGACTGGTGGTTTTGGAGGTCGTTGAGCAGGTGCAGGAGTTGGTTGTAGTTGGGGCCGTGTCGGGGCTGGCGGGCCAGTTCGTCCATGTCGGGGGACCAGCCGGATGCGCGAATGGCAGGGATATCCAAAGGGTCGATTTCTCTGACGCCGTTCTTCCACTCCTTTGGCGGTGCGTGGACAATGTGCGATTTCGAGTATGCGCGTATCTTGGCCTGCACGCATTCCTTTTGTTTGAGCAGCATACGGCCCATTTCGAGGTATCGGATCCGGGGTAGCATGGAGCACTGCATAATGGTGCCCCCTTCGTAATCCTTAATGTATCCCATCCAGACACTTTTATCAAGAGTGATTTCCTTAGTGAACCCTTGTTTCTTAAAGTACCCAATAGCGTAGTTATCCGCGTACGTCAGGAAGTGCATGACGTCGCTGGTTGCTTTAACATAATCCTTTAAATGGGACATGAGATGTGCACCGTACCCCTTGACTTGTTGGTCGGAGCTAATGGCGCAAAACACAATTTCTGCAAACTGTCTACCCTTAAATGGTCGATACGTGATTCCGCCAACAACCTCTAATGGTTTCTTGACTATGGCAATCGATAAATGCGTACGGTCGTATACTAGACGCGCAATGTAGTCTTTCGGCATCTTGGGAAGTTGTTTTTGGAATATGCATTTCAGCCCGGTGAGAATGATCAGTGACTCGCGCTCGTTATCGTTATTCACAACTCGGAATTCAATTTCGCCGTTGCGCTCTTCGATAACGGCAGGCTAAGGCGGGCCGCGGTTAGCTAATTCGGACCGAACTGTGAAAGATGGAATAAAACACTCAAAATGTACCTTCTCAGGAAATGGGATTGGTTTCATGGCCACGGGCTTCTTTTCCTCGGTTGCGTCGACAGACTCGTCATGCCTAATGCGCTTCGATGCGGCGGGCGAGGCGGGGTCTTCCGAAGCCTTGCGCTTCGTGCCTTGGGTGTTGTAAGCTTGGAGAAATGACAGCACAGGCAGCAATTAAGGCTCACCATTTTCCTCCTTGATAATGTCTCCCATGATGGAAGATGGCTGTGGTTATGACGCTGATATTCCACCGTTGGTGGTACTGACGTAGAGAGGTGATGCGAATGCTAAATCAATGTGGAGACCGACTTCGCGCTCAGCAATGCCAGTGAGTGTTCGTTCATGGTCCGTGCACGGCTTACGTTGGCAGCCCAAAGCTCCAAGGAGTTGGCGCTAAACCTATTTTGCCTCTGGCCACGATTGTCCATGTCAGGACAGCTTGTCGCACCCATAAATCAATTCGTAGCATTGCAGTTCGCGTCCAAATCGCATCGTCAACCATTGTGCCAGCGACAACGTGCGGGAAACACCTACTCGACTCCTTCAAACTCCCTTGGGATATACCGCTCCGACTGAAAACACTTGGCACATGGATTCCTCGCTGCATGAGGTTTGGCAAGCTGCTGCTGGCAGTCCATTCCTCCCCACCGTTGGCAAAAACAGCCAGTTCCTCGTTGCATTTATCTTGATGCTGTTGGGATTGGCAATTACTGGAGTATTTACATTGAGTTTGTCTATCATCCGCCGGCCTTACTGGTCGTCCTATGATGCTAATAAGCTTGCAGACCGATCTCTTTTTAACCTCGCGAGACTTGGCATCCCAGCTTCTCTGGCACTCGCGTACGTATACACTCTACGGTGACAACCGTCCTTTCCAACGCTCACATTATTTTATAGCTTCGGAGTTGTATACATGTTCTGTGCAGTTGGAGTCTACCTTTAAGAAAATACCCAAATAACTATACTGACTGGTTGGTTGACGAGCCAGCTGGTCTCTACTGTACATTAGTTGGAAGAGGAAAGGCAGAGGAGACGCAGGAGGCCTGCTGAACGACTGCCATCTGGTTTGGTTTTTTTGATTTTAGAAAAAGAAAAGTTTCCGCACGATTGATATCCATCGCTCCCAACGATCAGCACCGTTGCACATCAAGAATCATGGCGCCAGACAAGACCCCAATCTTTCGGGCTGTAGCTACGTCTACACGGCCGTTGTATCAGCTGCTTCGGTGTATTAACTTTGCTCCAAGAGTCCATGTCCAGATATCTGAGGAAGGTATTCGATTTGCCGCCGATCATTCGAGGGTAATGCAAGGTAACTCATTTCCTCACATCTTCATGGCCCCGTAGCCGTCACACGGCTAACTAATTATTTTAGGAGTTGCTTTTCTTGACAAGGGGCTGTTTTCAGCATATAGTCTCAACCTGCCGCTCTCTGACGACGAAGAAGCAGTCGATTTACCAAATTTCCAAATCTCGTTGGCATCATTTCTTGAAGTACTCCAAATATTTGGAGCTGTGGATGTAGCGACTCGGGCGCAGAAGGCAGAGCAAGACCCTTATCGGAGTAACTTGAGAAATTACAGACCAGATGCATTCAGCAACCAAGCTCTTGGAATATCCGGCACCTGTACACTACTTTACAGCGAAGCAGGAGATGCTTTCAAAATCACCATTGAAGAAGCTGGGGTGAAGACCACGGCAGGATTAACGACATATGTGCCGGAATTGCCAGACGATATTCCATTCAATCGAGAGGAGATGTCGTTCAAAATAATCATGTCGTCACGTTCCTTATTGGATTGTTTGGCGGAAATATCTCCCACGGCTCCTGATAAGCTGGCCATTATGGCGTCAAAGACCTCGCCTTTTTTGTCGCTCGCTGGCAGTGGTGACCTGGGAAGTTCCGCAGTGGATTTTGCTAGGGGCAGAGACTTGCTGGAGACTTTCACCATTGCCGACCGCTGGGCTCAGACGTACAAGTTCGACTTTATCAAAAATTCAACAGAGGCCATGCGTATCGCGAACAAGGTCAGCCTCCGGGGTGACGCACAGGGCGTCTTGAGTCTTCAGTTCATGGTAGAGATGGAAGGTGGTAAGCGAAGTTTTCTGGATTTTCGGTTTGTTCCCTTTATCACATATGACGAGGAAGACGAGGACGAGAACGGTACAGGTGTCGGGTTTGAAGAAGATTAGAGACGCTTGAATGGCTAGGGGCAGATGACTATTTCCTGCGAGCTCGACCTCTGATTGTCAAGGGAGAGAACATGGGTAGAGCTCGAGTCATGATTTACCTAGAAACTGATATGTCTGTATGTTAATCTTGACTCTGAGGTTGGTCTTGTATCGACTTAAAAAAGTGTGCTTTATATGGCTTGTCAGTCCCTTGCGTGCATTATAACGTGCCACGACCCCTCATTTTGGCGAAGCGAGGTCAGTATTGACCTTTTCTCCCAGTGTATGTATTCTTCTCGACACCGCAAGGGAAAGAACCAGCCATGGTGGTTTATCGGCCAACTCCGTGCGTCGCTAAGTCCATGTGCAAATACTTATCTTACCCTCCGTGCATAGCCAAGACCACCAGCATGGTCTGTCCTAGTGCGTACCTTGCTCATGAGTTGCCCGGCCTATAATCAGCTAGGCGGGACAGCAGTCGCTATAGCTCTCCGAATAGGAGCAGCCATTCTTGGCCAATCGCTCCATTACCGCGCAAACTTGTGAACGGGGGCTCCGTGCTCCGTACGCGCTATCAAGATTATCAAAATACAACAGAATACGTATACGCATGTGCAGTCTACATTCTTCATACCTCCTGCAAAGCAGCGAATACGTAACCGTGGCCAGACGACTATACGAGTGACGGCGGTGGGTCAAGTATCCATTTGTAGACCTGCGAGGCAGGACCGTGGTGTTGGGGTGAAGGAAATTGGTTAATGCAAAATGCACGACTGGCCAAGTCCTCACTCGCAGGGCGAAAGTCCTCTCGTATGGGTGGTTGACTCATGCCAGCCGACGCCGCGAAATGAATTGTGAGACTGCCCGACTCACTTGGCTTACATGCCGTTGTGCGGCATGGCTCAGGAATGGAGGGGGGAATACGTCGCGCAGGCGAGGCTAAGGGAGGCGCGAGGGAGACGGACGCAATCTCACGAAATCCATTTAAGAGCCGCCCTTGCTGCCTTGATTCTTCCCTACCTAGGCACTATAATACTCATATATTCCTGTATTAAGAAGCGTCGCAGTAAAGGCGAGGAAAAAAGGAAAATATTCGGAGTAGTGCCGGATTCATTCACTGGCCCACGCTTTGCACTCGAAAGACCAACGTTTACCGACAAACACGCCTACTACCTACGGCGCGTCCCAAACAGCCATGGCCTTCTCCACGGGAATTAGGCTCCACGATGGCGACGAGAAGGCCACCAGCCGGGGCAAATGTCTAAGGGCTGTTGCCGCATTTCCCGGCCGAATAGTCGCGTCCATGGGCAAGTTTTTCGCAACATGCTGCAGCTGCACGAGGCCCACGGACAACGAGGCAGAGGATGACTGCGAAGCACTACTCGACGGTAAAGTCATTCCGTTTCCTAGACACGCTGCGTCGTCGTTCCTGCGGACCGGGACGCCGCGAAGGATGAGAGAGGCCAATCATGTTCTATAATGGGAACGGAGCACTGGTGCACAAGGCCACGCATCGATTTGACAGCGACAAACGCACATGCCAACAAACGGCAGCCCTGAAAATTTCTTCTTCTCTTTTGGCCCCCTCGGACCATTTCTATTCGAGGATACAAACGGAAACATCGCGTTCTATTTTTACTGCCAAGGGATTACGATACACGGACCGTTTGGGTTAGGTCCGTGAGGCGTTCGTTGGGGGTTGCTCTTTTTTATTTTACCGTTTTACAGTTCTTGGCATCGTATATAGCAGTCCAGTGCTCTGGACCCGGGTTTCGGGTCGCATCTGGGGAAAGATGCTGCGGATGATGCTGTGTCGCGGCCCGAGATGTCCTGATTGGCGCTGATGGGGATGGAGCACATGGAGACTCGAGGCGTTTTTGGAGCCTGTATAAACTATTATAGGGAAAACAACTTGTTTTGGCATAGTAGGCGTTCAATAAAATCAACCACAGTGTAACTCTTTGCTCTTTTCAAGTTGGCACTCCCGGAACCGAGTGATCAGGCATAAGGGATACGGCCATGAAGCTCGGCCAAGGCTAGTTAGCAGCCGTCGCCTTCTGACGTGACTGCATGGCGATGCCGGCGATGTTGGGCGCGCACCAAGGACCAAGCCGGCATTCCTTTTGGGGGCGGGCATCCCGTTGCAGCTCTGGGGATTGTGATTGCCACGCGGTCTGTGCCCGATTGCGCATATCCCTACGGAGTAGCGATTGTTTTGAGCTTGACAGACTAAGAAGAAGAAAGCCAGGGAGACCACGGTTGCACAGGATCCGTAGATTGGATTGCTAGCAGCGAATTGTGACAAGTTGCCAGTGATGGCAATGAGCGACGACCATGATCATGGTTTATGTAGGAATGTCGAAGAAAGCTTTGACCATGGGTTTATCTGAACTGGCCGACGGTTGTATCTGTCGCATCATTCATGTCCGATATTCGGCTGGTTGTTGCTGAAAGACGTCGCAAGAACGAGAAGATATCATTGTCGTTGCCCGTTCTTTGGCCGCTACCGGGCCGCAGAGTACTCCGTATAGGCCTACTTGATCCGCTAGCCGCAATTGACCAAGTAGGCTTTCTGATATCAAGTACGATATCGGCAGACCGAAGTTGAGACTGGCAGAGGTCAAACGTGCACGGAGAATTGCAAGATGGTCGTCTTCGAACAGAATAAGTGTAGTGATGGGGATGATAATATGAGGCTCATGCACTCTGTACGCACAGCGACGCACGTAGGCGGGTTTTCTGCTGCATGTGAGGGTGGTTCAAGTCTGTGCTCCTGCAATTGAGGCCACACTACCCCTTATACCTCTGATAGGAATCCGGTGTCTTCAAGAAGAGTGTTCATGGTGTAATGAGCACGCGGCCGACGAAGCCTTTGGGGACGAGGTAGGGATAAACATTGAAGCTAGCACATATTGGTTCTAGCATGTTTATCAAGGCCAGTAGCACTTGCTTGCTCAAGCTTGCAGCAGTTGACTGCGGCCTTTCCCGTTTATTCTTCCTCGGTGTTTCCCGCCCCACAACTGCCAACACTCTGGCCCGACATCTTCATCTGCTCTGCAAGGCCTCAAGCTTTCACCAACATCCCGACCGCTAAATCACATTTTGCTCTCTTCCACCAGTCATGATACCGGGACTGTGGGCTTGTAGTGACGGGCTTTTGAAAACCCCAAGTCCTTGACCCTGCTACTGGTAGCCTGTGATCATTTTCGCTATTTAGTCATCGCCGCTTGTGCAAGTCACGAAGGGCATCATCCACTGGCACGCCACAGACAGACCACTAGGCTGATCTGGAGAGATGATCGATACATGGAGGACAACTAGAGGCACGTATAGGACCACAACGAAAGAGGCGCTAGGTGTGTAACCTGGGGCATGTCAAACGGACGGGTCTCTCCCTTGATGTGATGTCTTCAACCACTCGCAAAAGCAACATGATGTGTCAATATGCGCAGTGGGAAGGCGTGTCACGCACAGACTACCACCAACAGTATGAATCGTGTCAAGGGGCCAAAAACCAAAGACACATACTCCGTAGCTGATCGCGATATAGGTTATATCAACCTCAGCTGTGAACGTTACAATGCGAACAGTACGCCGAGGTGTTGCGCTTGCTCTTGCAGTGCATCTATCTGCTATTACCGCTCTCCATTTAGAAACGCGCGGGTGCCAGTGCCAAGGGAGGATTATAGCAACTCGTCATTTGCCGCAAAAAATGAAGGGATCATGAAGCGGCTTGTGCACTGAAACCTGCCTCGTGCTTTGGCGTCCCTACCGGGCAAGGCCAAGAGCCTCCCATGCTCTAGGCGTCCACCCTCATCGGGAATCGTCTGGCAAGGCAGCCATTCCGAAGCGGCGAGAGAAGCTGCTGCTACAGCTAACTATTACACCCATGAAGCACGAGGTCGTCGTCGTGGCTTGGAGCTGTGTCGAGTGACTTGGCCGCCATGCTTGAAAGTTGAGAATCTCGTCATTGGCTTTGTTGGCGTGTTCCTCTTGTCTATTGGGCCAACTAAGCATCTAGATGCTGGCGTCCTTTCATCCATCGCCATGTATATTGATTGGGCCTGTGTCGCCCACTGCATTCGCACCATCCCATTAACCAATGATGCCGCAGAACATCTCGCTTGTCTCTTCCCGTGTCTTTACGCACACCATCACATTGTACCACCACCGTGCCATACCATACATAGACCTCTCGTAATGCGTGATTTTCTGACTACTAACTATTTTATTTTTATTAGTTTTTTAATCCCTATTTTTAGCTTATTTAAGCTAGCTAATCTAATTCTAGTATATTATAAATTATATATATTATTATTATAGGAAACTTTATTATAGAATTAATTAAGTATATAATTCTTTTAATAATATACTAAAATAAACTTAATTATAATACTAGTCTTTTAATACGCCTTTTTAAGAAGATTTATTATAGGTTTTATTAAAAAGAGAAATATTAATATTTATTTATTAAATAAATATATAAGGTAAACTTATATATAATATTTTACTTACCTTTTAAGCGCTATTAATAGGTTTTATAATTTAATATTAACTTAAATTTTATTATATAATAATATATTTTAATCTTTTACTTTATAATTAAACTTAGAGAACTAGCGATTTTCGTCCATTTCCCAAACGGCACTTGGAAGGATCTCGGATACCCGCCGATGAGTAGCGAGGGCCGAAGAGTATCGTGGGATGGATCGAATGGCAGGCCTTCGCTTCTGGCACATGATGAGTCGTTGATCCAAAAAGGATGCAAGGGAAATGCCAACGCTGGAGCCACTTCACAAACAAAGTCGGGAAGTCGGGGCGTCGAGAAAAGGCACCAGCCAGCACCCACAGCATCCAGTGAACTATTTCGAGCCAGGGTCATACCGAATTGGCCTTGGTTCCCTGAAGCTGGAGTTGGCTGCGCCCCCATGCCGATCGAGATGCTGGAGGCCTGGCTAAGCAGAACTCGCAAGCATGGGTCAGGCCGCATGGGCTTCTACCTGGGCTGGGCCGCAGCCACAATGGAACCAGCTTCGCTCGGTACTACATGCAACAAGGGAAACAATTCATTTTCGATAGAATAACTCAGACACCCGCCTGTTTCCGGCCAGGTGTGGGCTCGGGACCCATGTTCTGCGTAACACCACCAACCTGAAATCGCTGCTACCACAACGTGAGAAGGCTGGCCCCCATCAGTTTGACGTTCACTTATAAGCCAGGGTCGAGATACTTGAACCGGGCTGGCGCTCCTTCATTGCTACCTTTCAACTGCTCCCTTACTGAAAGCATTGCCCACTCGCTGTACACGGCGGTGAAATAATTCTTTGTGTTTTGTCCATCCCAGGGGGCCGTCCGATTCGAGTATCAAAAGTCCCTCTGTTCTGCCATGCCATGGTCGTTTTGTTCCTTTTGATACTTGAACCGTCTCATTATGTCATATGACCCTTTGTCAATACCTCTTCGGTCAAACGGTTGGCGTACGTTTATGCGCTGGCACTTGGGTTGTTTGTGCAGTCACTTCCCTTTTAAATAGCAGACCCAATATCCTGTTCTACTGCTGTTCTGTTGGTTCCCTCGGGCTACACGAGCAGCAGGCCCGTCTCGGCAAGATGGAGAGTCTGACGGTTGGCACAATGGGACGTGCGTCAGCAAACCCGCAACTTAGTTCATCTCCTTCTCGACTCAATCACAGAAGAGCCCAGTCACTTGATGAGTGTCCCTCACATCGAATGCAGTTGAAGAATACATCACGATCACTTTTGTGGCTGCCAAGCGTGAGGCGTCAGCGATCCATCTCTCCCGTCTTGATCCGGAGCGATGATGATGATGGCGACCGAGCCTTGTCTCCCCTCCCTCCCGCCAAGCTCCGAGTTCCTGGAATCTCGCCAGCGGTATCAGTTCATGCTTATGAGGGATCTAAGGAAGATGCGCTTGGTAAGCGTTCTGTGGATGCAGGCTCCGTCACCAGAACACGTTGGTCTGAGTTGCCGACAGCAGAACAGAATCGAGGGCCAACAAGACGGAATTCACAGCATATTGCCGGACAATATGAACAATGCATGGACAAAAGTCGAGAACCCTCTGAACGGTCATTTTCCCCATTCTCTGACTCTGCTGTCACTATGATGCAGGACGGCTGCTTGGAACGCCTGGTTGTGACTCCCTCGCTGGGCCATCATGACGCCTGGACACAATCAGTACAGCTCATGATCAAGGAAACAGCAGACGCTTTTGAACAAGTTCACGAGACTATGGACGATTCGAGTTTGACGTCATGGCTACATGACTTGCCAGAGACGTCAGAGACGACGAAGAGACCAGAGACGCCAGCCGACTTTGCTGCTCCTCATATCACTACTCACCATCACCAAGAGCAAGAAGACATCACAAGTAATCGACCTACTCCCTCCAAGAGAGCCAAGCCACCAATAGACAAGCCCCTTCCTCTGTGCCCCGAGACACGAAGTATGAATGTGCTGAAAAAGGAATCAAAAAAAGCCTCCCAGCCTCGTACTTCGCAGCCAACCAAACCCGCTAGATGGGCGGTATCAAATGGCGTTGCTCAGCTTTTCTCTGGCACACGCTTCAAGCGCGTACAAGCCGATGAGATGCTGACTCCAGAGAAGACCGAAGAGGTGCGAGCCAGACGTATAGATAAAGACCAGCAGCCGTCGTCGTTCGAGGGGCGAGACTCAAGCGATTCGTCTGACAGCACCTGGTCGCAACAGACCACGACAAGTTCCGCCAAGAGTAACAAGAACAACAGCAAAGCGGAGAAGCCATCAGTATTGCCACTTGACCAAGCTGTTATTCATGCAGACTTTTCCTTACCCAGCACGTCAATGCAAAAGGCCACCGTACCACGGACGCGAAGCAAAAGCGACACCACTGTGTTGACAAGTAACGTTTACCCCTTGAACCCCCCTCCTAAGAACCCCCAGAGATTCGTTTCCACGAATACCAAGGCACGACTTTCGACTATACCGGAAGTCGAATCCGAAGACGAGCTTGAGGAGCTGGCCGGCCGGCCGAGTGTTGACCACAGCCTCCGGTCTCAAGAGAGTGGTGACTTGGTCAAGCGCGGTCGCGTTGCTTGCCAAGTCGGGGATTCATATGTCAACTCGGATGAGGAGATGGATGACTCCATCGACAGTGGTGCCTACCAAATAGCTATCCAGGGCCTTACAAGCGGCGACTCGCAAATGGTCACGTATGACGATGATGAGAATGACCTGGCTGATGACATGACAGCTTGGTTCTCAACATTTGGCTTTGAAACCCACGGCGAACTTATTCCGGACGGAGCGGCTTCACCATGGAGTCTCTCGTCACACAGTATAACATCTACATCCCCGTCTACGGTCGGCGGGGACGCAGAGGCTCCCATCCCAGTTAGTTCCGAAGACGGCTACGCATTTGCAGAGCCCATTCGCTTCTTCCGAAGTCATGCACCCCCAAGAAAGTGGAGGCCAGAGGAGGACTCGGCTAACCACTATACCTTGCGATATACCAGGACAGCCCCTTTGGTGGTAGGAGACGGCGAGAGAGACTGCGTGTCTGAACAGGTAGCCGAGTCGGCGGACCTGAGTGTGAGTATGAAGCAAGACATTGCAGCGCTTTTGAGATGGATGGCGGCAGGAGGAGAATAAATTTGTAATGATTATGACAGATGCAACCGCAGGCACGATATTATTACTTTATGATACCAATGCGATAGAGAAGCAGAAGCATGGATTGAACAAGTATTTGAACACTAAATGGAGTTAGTTGTAGCTCTCTCAGTTTGTGAAAATCCACTCGGCATGACCCGAGACGCCACAGCGCCTCCACGCAATACGTGATAACCCTGCACGTCGGTACACCCCGACTCTCCACCATTCATCCCAAAGCTTCAACTTTCCCAACACATTATTCTGATACAGCGCGTCAAATCTCCATCTACCCAAACGGATATCCATCCCAGCGCCCTACCGCCTCGAGAAGAAAATCCACCCCTCGCGGCCACCATGCTCCGCCGGCCCCCGACAACGCTCCAAATCACAGCCGAGGACGTAGCCGCCTACGAGGACCGACGCGCAAACGAGGCCCTCGCCGCGGCGCAACAGGCACGCGCCGAAGCACAAGCCTACGCGCAGGCGCAGGCGCAGGCGCAGGCGCAGGCACATGCACAAGCTCAAATGGAGGGCGTGCAAGAGAGCCCCGGCGCCGTGGGGAGGAGAGTGCGCGAGGAGCGGCTGGGCATCACGCGGAGGAGGTGACGCGGAGGAAGCACTGCGCTACTGAGGTGGTGGACATGTCATCATGGCGCGGACGGCATTGCGGAACTGTTACTAAAAAAAAAAATCCGTCAAGGCGAGGAACGCTGACCAGACGGGATGCACGCATGGAGTTCTCGGGCGTCGGAGCTGACTTTATGCAGCGGGTAACAATAAAACATACGCTATTAAACCGCATCAATGCTATGGCTCCGTGACCAACCCATCCAACTAGTAACACAATTACATGCATATATATGTACACGGCGTCGCCATGACAGCCAATAGTTTCAGCCCCTCTGTGCCAGATATGCCCAATATAATACCGTCAACCAGGCCAAGCGCCACGTAGTCGTCCACAACTCCCTCCCTAGTAAGCGCAATTCCCTCCTTCCCCTGTCAGGTTTGCGACCGTCGTAGAAATGGTCATCAAGAGTAATTCGCGGGCCGCCATTCCCATTGCTCCATCCCCATCGTTGGCTATTTTTACTCTTCTTGGAGGCCCATCTCGCACTCCCACCGTTTGCCTGGCTCCTAGCGCCGGACGTGGCCGCCGCTGGTGAGCGGAGAGCGCCGTACTCAGGTGGTTCCATCTTCACCTTGTCCTTGAATATGGGTAGCATAGGAGCCGCGTGAGTTTCGGGCTCAAGGGCAAATGGTGTGAGGCGGAGGACGGGAACAAGGAATGCTCGGATTAATAGTAGGACGACAGAAACGATAATAAAAGTAATGTACTTCATGTAAGTGTGGAATTGATTTGGAAGCAAGCAGAGATGGGTTTGAACTGTTTTCTCGGACGAGTTGGGAATAGGCTTGCCTTGGGCGTCGATGGGGTTGAACAGACTGACCATGACGAATCCCGGGGTTGGCACTCCCATGGCCATGCTAATACTCTTGACGGTAATCTCAGGAACGTTCTCCTGGGCAGCGGAATGCACGAGCTCGCAGTAGTCATGGTCATCACCTGAGAATGCGTGTACAACGTTGCCAATCTTCTTAATCAGCTTAACCGAATCTTCGTCGTTCAGAACATTCTGATACTGGTAGCCTGCACTGACGCTGATAGCATTGCGATCATCACGAGCGGTGGGGTCGACAGTTCCATCCTTTCTCAGGGTCGACTTGCTTGGTGGCCAGTGTTCGCGGTTTGGACCGCAAGGCGTGCCGGGGTCTCGGTATAGAGGGACGTGGGTGAGCAGAATCGTAGGAAAGTCAGGCGCCCCCTCTCCTGGGTCCATTGGTGACCGTGATACATCCGCCTCGTTGACGTCCTCAACCTCGTGTCGTAACTTCAGCCCCCGATCCACTCCATGCCAGACTGCCAATTCCTGTTGAGCAGCCTTTCGCTTGGTCGCCTGGACCTGGTCCAAGAATTCATGGACTGGTCCGTAGATGGGCTTCAAATCATGCTCATCCTTGTACCGTGAGCTATCAGCACTCAGCGAAACCGTATCTACCGACACAATGGTATGATTGCCCACCACGTCGACACGGTTCGTTTCACCGAAAAAAGCACTGAACCTGTCACGAACAGGCACCTGAATCTGAGCACCGAAGCCGAGATCGTGATTTCCAGGCAAACTGGCAACCAGCTTCCTACCCCTCTGATATGGCCCAGGAACACCGCCGGCCTCATTGAATGGGGCAAAGAAGATGTCGCTGAATCTCTGATACTCTCGAATCCAATAGTCATCATCATATTTGCGATGCCATGTCTTCACCCACTTCTTCTCGGTTGCAGACCGCTCGCCACCCCATTTTGGATCGACAAATTTGGTGCCCTGCCGTGTCTTCCACTCTCGGCCGCCGTCGAACAGATCGCCCAGGAAGAAGACACTGTCGGGCTTTAATTGGCGTTGCAATGCGGTATATCCACGTCGCATATAGTTATCCGTCACCAGCACAGTCAGCGGCGACAGAGGCCAGGGTCGACCGGGATACGAGTGCGGATCGATAAGTTGGGGATCGGCGACGAGGATGAGGTGATGAGGGTTTGCTTCTCTGGGCTGTAGCATGGTCCATCAGCTTTATCCACCAGCAAAATAATATATGATATTTCGATAAGGCAGCAACTTGCCAACGTACCCATTTCTCCCAATTCTCCCAATCACACTTCGCAACCTTGGAGTCGAACACCCATCTTTCGCCCCATAGCAAAATCACGACCCAAAACAAAAACAAAAAATGCGGAAAGCTCAACAGCCGCCTCGGGGTTAAATTCCTCCTAATCTGATGCGCGACGCGCAGTGTAGCCGTCGTAGCCATGCGCCTACCTGGGCCGCATATCCAGGCAAGGACGGCTTGGGATGAGGTGCGCGGACGCCCGTCCTTAACGGGTTTGGGCATGACTAGGCGGCTGAACATGCTGGCGCCATTACCGCCTCGCCAAACAAGCTGGATGGCGTCCGTCAAGGTGTTGAAAAGGACAGGTTGTGGATGGCAAAGCAAACGATCGCACGAGCGGCTGGGGGTGTTGGTTGGAGCTGAGTTTGATGGCAGGGTAAGCAGGTGGCTGCCGTCCCGGGGACGGAGCTTGGCGTGTGCCGCTCGGTGGGTTCGCTTTTGGTGGTTGGTTGGTTGTTTGTGGTGTTGGTCTTGGTGTTGGCGTTGGACCGAGCTGGCTAGCCAACCCCCTTTCACGATCTGATGCACGGGAAGAAAGAAGAGTAGTCGTACCAAGTATGCAAGTCACGAAAGGAAACAGAGTGGTGAGGGACGGGGAACGGGAATAAGAGCCTTCACCACCAAGAATGCCGTCAAATGTTACCTGGCTGTGAGGGAAAAAGGAGAAAAGGACAAAAGGGAAAGAAAAGGGAAGGAGTGAATTGGTGGTTTTGTTACATGCCTTGGATGCTGGGAGAAGGAAAGAGCGAACTAGCAGGAAGCGCCAGTCCTACGGTTGACGTCTCAGGTCCAAGGGTCTCTCACTCAGGTCCCGCCTTTGCTCCTAATTTTCTCCAATCTTGCTCCATCCAATTCGTATTAGGAGCATTTGAGCGCTGAATGTGTATGTATGTACTTTGTACTCCGTACAGGACATGTAATCTGGATGTGGGGTTGCCAGACAATAGCGAGAATAACCACCTGGGCAGTTACCAACACCAGACATCATTCGCATCCGCCTGGCCACAGTACGATCAACAGTTCAATCACACAATACGACTTTTGCTTATGCTATTGATCCAAATTCTGTCCCTTGACTCCCTCAACAGTTCCAAAAACGATAACGCCTTCGTATGCAAATATTGCATCGTCTGCCACCCAATGCTGAGAAAATACGTACTGCGCTATTCCAACATCATTTATGTCGTCAAACTTCGTAAACACATGATGAACATCATAAGCTGTACAGTAAGCCCGCCTTTGCAAACACGCTTTCCTTTTCTGGGTGTCGCCCTGCTCATCCTCTCTTCACTTGCCCATCGGCGCTCATCGCCGTGGTGGGACATCTGAGCTTTCATCGCTCACATAATCATCATTCTCTTCTTCGCTCTCCTCGCCGTCATCCTCGTGTTCTTGTTGCAGATTGGGCTTCTCGGGCTTCTTGCGGAAGCTCAAAAACCTCTTGAAGCCTGTCGGCTGTTGTAGCTCCTTGGCAGGCTGTTGTAGCTCATCATCTGCTGGGTTATACTCATACTGCAATCGAGGTACCAACAGCCTATATGGAACAGTAATACCTGTTGGGTCCTTGGAATTGACCTCCACATTGAGGCATATGTCCAGACCGCCTTCAAGATCAACGGTAAACTTCTCAGCTTTGCGCAACTGTTTCATTGACAATCCCGTTGGCGTGCGATGGAATGGGCGCACCATAGAGTCTGGTTCGTCATCGCCCCTAGTAGTCCCTGCCGGTTGGTTGCCAGTAGTCTGGGTATGTAGTGGTGGTCTAGCTGTAAAATGCATCTCATCATCATCTGAGAATTCAGCGTGTTCATATGTACCGCCACCGCGCAGCCCTGACGGTCGGACGGCATGCGAAGGGTGGCTACCAACGAAGTAGCCGTCCTCATCGTCGCTCTGGACACCCCATTGCCCATTGATACCTCCATCATCAGGCCTGCTCTTGGTTCCACGTCGACCGAGGCTGAAGATCCCCTTCTTCTTGCCCTCGCCACTTCCGAGTGACATTGTACGGGTCAGCTTCGTCGGCCGAGGACCATCAGACGAGTTTCTCCGCGACAAACTGCGGAATAAGCCACCCACGCCTCCTGACACTGGAGGTCTATCGCCTCGAACAGACGTACGTGATCCATCGAAGCGATTTGACGTTGACCGTGTTCCACCCCCCAGGGAGAGTCGTCGAAACAGGCCGCCTCCACCCCCGCCGCCATTGCTATTCACCACCGGTGGTGGGCTCGGACTCCTATCATAAGTCGACAAAGGTGGTGTTGGGGGCGGCGTTCTGCCAGGTGACCAGGAACGAATAGAACACCAGTTTCTGTGTGGCAGGAGGTGTTTATTGTTTCGGGGTTTTCCATCCACTCCATGATGGAATAGAGGGACCATGCTTTCATCAGTTTGCTTGTCGAAATGATGCACCTTGTTTCGCTTGTTCAGTACATCCGCCAGTATATCCGACGGCGGGGTATTTGCGATAGCTGAAGATACAACGTTGATCATGTATCTCGGGTCCTTGTGCTTTGGCAAGCCAAGCTTGGGGTTTGAATAAAACTGACCAACCGCAGCCAAGTGTACGTCACCACTACAGTGAATGTCAGATTATGATTCTTTGTGCTTATGTTTGTTGCCAGGGAAAAAAAAAATTTACCTCAGAATCGTGATTCGCAATGATTTATCAATCGCCAAATCCTGTAAATCCTCCATAATTATGCTTCTCTCGTGTTTGTGGTTCTTGGCAGTCCAGTGGTCATTCAAGTCATCCAAGACCTCTACACCACCATCGATATTATTGAGGGCTTTGCCAAACATGCCAGTTCGGCCGAGAGCCTTGACGGGATCCATCAACCGGGATGTCAAACTATGGGCAATGTCAGTCGAGATTGCCAGGGAACCCTCCATGGGAAGAAGCCACTTACATATTCTCTAGCCAGACCAGCCTGGGATATGCGATCGGGACACCCAACAACACCAGTAAATGCTCGACGTGGCCACGCCGTACCTCAGCATACATTCTATTGATGATCGTCTCCCATGTCTGGTTATTGATCACGTCGTGCTCTGTTCTCTCGGTGCGACAATCCACCGCAAGCAAGGCAACTTTGCCTCCCATGGATACATAAACGCTACGGCTCAGCTCCTGAATGTACGGTCCTGGCTCTTGACCAAGAATCCAGCTGGGCTCCGTGTTTTCTGTCTCGGTCAAAACGCTTTGGTGTTGGAAGAGCATATAGTACTTGAAAGCAACCGCTCCCAAACCGGCAAATACCGGTGACTTCATGTAGTGGTCGGGATAAGAACCATATCCGTCGAAGATGTCGTGATCATCATACATGTTGACCATGGGAATCTGCGATGCTGCCAAGCTGAAAAGCCCTTGGGAGAACCACATGCAATAGCGCTGTAGATAAAATTCTTCCATTTCATCCTGCATGCTGGCAGTAAATGCAGCCACATGTTTGTGCTGGGGATGTCGGATATCAAGCCATTCATCAAACAGGCTGCATTCATGAGCAACGGAATCATTGTAAATTTGGTCACCACCTCCAATCATTACATGGAATGGTTGCGACTGGTGTGTATTCAGAACATCACGCCACATGGGATCAGGGCCGCTAAGATCGTCGGGGTTGGCGCTGGCACTGAACCCATTGCAGCTATGGAACATGATATTCATAGCCTGTCCTCGAGGAGGAACCCAGAATGCCATAGAAGGACCTCGGTTGATACGATAAGCGATGCGTTGTTGCTTATCTCGCAATTCAACTTCGATGTTGAATCTCCAGAAGGTGCAGCCTCGCTCTGCGTGAAGACGAAATCCCCTCACATCCTTGTACTTTTGCAGCTTCTCACCGTCAGTCTGAATGCGCTTCTGGCGGCCGGCGAAGGATTGAGGCAACTCGGTTGCGCCATTTGAAGGGGGGATATCTGGCGGACTTCGTGACTTTTCGTACAGGCCTTGATCTGTTTCAGTACGAGATAGGTCTCTGGCTTCTTCCAGATGTTCCACCGGGCGTACATAGATAGTTTCTCCTCTACGACCAAGCTTGGGGTGTCCTGCAATCGGATCCACGTATTCAGGTGGTAAATCCCCATTCACTTGAAGTGGTGGAGGAGGTAGAAGCTGAATGTCCTGTACGAAGAGGCGAAGCATGGGCGCAATATCGTAGGATGATTCTGAATCGTGCGTTACGATCATGACGCTCCCTCTCCATATCTCACGATTTGACACGGCACTGTTTTGAGATCGCGTGGGTACCTTCTCCTGACGAATTCCACAGTATCTCAAGAGTGGGCCGCATTTAAGATACAAGGGCGGCTTGAACCGTGTTGGAGCTAAAGCACGATTAACATACGTTGTGAGTAGGGGTCTACTTTTTAAGACGTTGCTCCTACCGTTTGTGTCATCATACTCGCCATCGAACGCTTCAGCTTTCCGTGGCCTCGATGAGTAAGTACTATTTTTTCGTCCCCCGGTGTTCTCCCACCAAGCCTTATTCTTGTCACTGATTGCTTGATAGTTTTCTGTGAGGTCCAGTAGGGTCCCACCAAGAAACCCAACAGTTGCATTCTGATATTCATCCAGCCAAACTGGCGGCTGATACAACCCTTGACCAGGACGCAAGTTTTCCGGGTCTTTAAATATCATGTTTGAAACTCGATGCTGAGGGAGACTCTCAACGGAATGGCTGCTGTCCTGACGTTCAGAGCGTTTTCCGGAGACGGCTGGATCTTGCTGCTCGGTACCTGGGCTTTGAATAGAACTGGTATTGGCGTTACTACTAGTTGCAGGAGGAATATACTCTTCATCAGATCCGAACTCCTTTCTATAAATAGGTTCAGTTGCTCGACGTTGTATCCCTTGGGCAGGTTCTTGTGCTGTCGGAACGGGAGGCAATTCTTTGTCTCTAATCGCACGGGGGAGCCTACCAGCGGCTCCATAGGCTCGGGTAGCTGATGTGGGCTCATGGATAGCAGAACCGGGCACTTTCCTCTCCATATTTGGCTTTAATGAGGTCCATTGATCCGTGGGAGGTTCCTTGCGTAACTTGTTGCTTCCATTGCGTGTAATATACGTTCCACTACTAGGACCACCGCTGAAGAAGGCTGTTGGTTGGCTTACCGGGCTTGTTTGTTTGACAGTATGTTCTTTCTCATTCCTCGCTGCGCGTTCTCTGAAACTTAGGTTTCGCCTTGGTAGCCCGGATCTCGACTCTCCATGGTCCTCTCGTTGCTCTGGCACTTGAAGTGCCGGTGGCGTACCAGCGACATGACCACGATCCGCAGCCTCGGCACGATAGCGACTAGGAGCTGGCTGTTGATGTTGTAGGGGTTGATGTGGCGGGTATGGATGCCCTCGGCTTCCAGTATCAGCGGGATTCATCTGAGGCTCCTCTATCGGGACGGTTGGTGCAATGGCTTCTGGGTGATAACTTGGCGGTTCAATGGGTATTCGGCGACTTTGTGATTCACCCGACTGGGCTGTGGAAGCTTCAGCGGCTCGTTTTGCGGCACGTTCTCTAGCTCGCTGCTCCGCGGCCTGGACTCTAGCCCTCTTTTCCTCCTTGCTCATGCTATCGAGCGTCAGCTCAAGCCGTTGGAGTGGTGAACGGTCGTTTGCAAACTTCTTGCGGCGCTCTGGTGGCAGAGTAACGGATGGTCTTCGGGTTCCTCCAGCAGCAATATCTTGCGGCATCATGGGTGGCGCAACGACGCCTCTGCCGCCAGTGACATCATGTATCTGACTTCTTGGAAAGTCTGGATATTCTTCGCGACGAGTTGTGTAGTATCCTTCGGGTTCCATGCCGTCGGCCACGGCGAGACGGCCGGATGGCAAAGGCTGCGATTGAAAGGAAGTCGGCGGGACGTGGTTTAAGTTGGAGTTGAGCCTGGTGTAAGGTGGTTCTGAAGTTTCGTACGGTTGACGATAGCTTACAGGTGGACCTCCAAGAACCTCTGGCGTATTAGGAAGAGCTTGAGGAGCCTGACGAGTTGATGCAGAGAATGAATCCTGGAATTGCTCCGAGGACTGTCGATGGGGTCTGCGAAACGTTTCTTCAGGCATGTGCGAGACAGGTTCTTGAGGAATATTAGAATCAGCAACACCAACGTTTACATTGGTGCCAGCACTGCCGATGCCCGCACCAATGCCCGCACCCACACCTGGGGCAGCATTAGCTACAAAAACTGGGCGCTGGTAAGAAGGCGGTCTGGGAGCTAGGCCTTGGGCAGCTCCAGCAAAGCTCGAAGCCGTGGGCGAGTGGGGGCTGAAGGTGGACTCTGTAAGAGCATCGGTGGAGGCTGGGCATCAAGCGAGCCGCGGTGCTCATGCGTCGGGTACGTGTAGTCATCGTACTCGTCCCTCAACCCCTGCGAACCCTGCGAATCCGGGAAACGGCCCCAGTGTTGCTGCTGTGCTGCCATGAGAGAGACAACTAGGTGGCCGTGATGGGGTGACTGTGACGGAGGTGACTGGAGGATCACAGTAACACCACGGCAACGGTCTCAATCTCGGTCTCGCTGAGGTCGAGCGCCGGTAAAAGGAGAGGAACAAAAAAACCGGCCTAGGACCTAAAAAAGGAGTGATGAGAATGATGAGAATGATATGGGAAGAAAAGACCAGCAAACCCAGCTATCGCGCAGTTATGAAATTACGACTAGAGAGCGGTATGGAGTATAACAAGACCCAAGACCAGACGATGGCGCTGGCGTCAGGGTCGTCCGCCTCGCGTTGGTGCCAGCCAGGAACCCGAAATAATGTCTCCGTATTCCAATGTTGGGCTGAGTGTGGCTCATACCATGGGTCCCATGCAGGCCATCATTATTACGGTATGGAAAGGAAAGGCCCAAGTGAGAGGGGAATACGTGGTGACGGTTGCAGATTACAGCAGGCAGGACTCCGTGGTTGCCCAATTAACATCTGGACGAAAAATCAAAAGCCAGGAATTGAAGAGAGTCTGTTCCGTAACTCATCCCCCATGCGACGAAAGTCGACCGAAGATGAGAAAGAGACGTCGGCCAATCGAGTGAGAAGCTGGGGAGCTGAATACCAGGTCGCAGGGGCCACGGAGAGTAACAAAGAGAAGCAAGTGGTTTTAGCAAATATGACAGATGAGAATCTCAGAAGACAGGCAGCTCTTGGCGACTCTGGCCGCGTACTCTGTACGGAGCAAGGTTGAGCGCAATTGAGCTCTTGGTGCGTTGACTGGCAGATGTTGGCGCTTAGCTATCCAAGGAACTGGAAGAGACGGAGGAAGGGAAAGCGCCTTGGGGCCATGGAGCCTGCATGCGCGGGCCGGGTCCGTGGTCAGACCGGGAAGGTGCTGTGGAGCCTCCTGCCACTGCTGTCTGCTGTACGGAGTAGAGTGACGAACAATATGCGGAGTCCGGACCACCAATGGGGGAAATGGTTACAGGGCACCCTGTACATAAACCTGTCAACGTCTCCGTATCGAGGACGATCGCGTCAGAGACGATGAACTCGGTCACTAGAGTCTAACGAGAGAGTGCCGAGCACGCCGAGGACTGAAATAAAGAGGCGGGTGACGGCACGCCATAACCAACGAAGACCAGCTGAAGATGCCCGGCACCACGCAAGGATACGGAGTATGCCGGGTGGCTTGCAGCACTACTTCGGTACAGAGCCGCATGAAATAAAAAAACTAGGTGGCTGGCGAAGGCCTGAGCGTTGCAAACCAGACATCTTCAATGATCTCCCAACTGGTGCAATACAACCATGGGCACTTGATTGGGCTTGTGAGGAATCGCCTCAGGACAAGGAAACTGACCGATGGAAACATCAGGACGAGCCGAGGTGAAAAAGATGAATGATGAAGCTCATTGCAGAGTCGATGCCTCCGGCAACATTTATTCCCTCTACGGAGTAGTCATGGATCACGTCGATATCTACAAGGTACCTAGTAGGTATTAGGTGAGTAGACAACACGAGAAAGCAATTATGCCCTCCATCTAGAACACCAGCCAAACTCCCGCTCTTGACCTAGGCACCAACCGAACCAGCTCCTGGGCCTCCGAGAAACATATGGCTATGCCAGCCCTGCCAGCCTGATTGGAATCTGGGCATAATCGAATACCGAGCAGGATCGTCTGCGTGGACAAAGCCGCTCCAATCATGCTCCTGGCCATTGGTATCAACCCATTTCATCACCCTCATCGACGCGGCATATTTCCAACCCTCGCTGGCATGACGCCCAGTGCCCATATCAGTGGTTGTAAGCCGCTCGCCGGTGTTGTAGACCTCCCCATACAGCAAGATATTGGTTGCCGAAGTAGCCAGAGTGTTTTTGGGATTCACTCCTTCGCGGGCGAATAGCGAGGTAGGATAACAGCCAATGTATCGGCCCATGGTGTAGAGCCACCAGCAGTTGTTGAAAAGCTTGTATCTGATTTCGATCTCCTCCTGTTTGCCTCCTTCAACGGAGAAGGCAGAAATAGGCATGCCCGGGTAAATCTCCCTGTCTTGTTGGAACCAGCCCTTGACCTTGAAATTGTAGCCACCCACATAGTCGGCTTGGCCCCGATACCCATTGGTGGTGTAGAAGGCGAACAGAATGGGACCTCCCTTGTGAAGAACAGGATAGTTCGTCCAGCCAGCTTCGACGGTTTGATCTTGCTTAGCCGCGCCGTTAGGTTGGTCAGCTCTCTCATGGACAACAGCAACCTGCAAAAGGGAGAAGTCCCCATCTCGCTCGAGGAACGGTCTGTGGGTAGAGATGAAGGCGCCGCCGCCGATATTCTCGTTATTCTGATAAGCAGTCGCATACCAGTGCTTGTATCTCACACTGGCACGAGCGTGAAGCTCAGTGGCGTTGGAGTAGTTTTCTGTGTGAAGAAGGGGGGGCTGCTTCATTGGAACATCATTGTTAACTCGTGCAATAGGGACGGTTCCCTCGGGGCCCTGGGCTTGAGGACGAGCTGCTAGGTTTCGTCCAAATGCCTCAATATCTGCTCCCGCCGGCGGTTCTGAGGGAGGTGTGAAAATTTCACCCTGTGATTCGCGAGTTACCCAATCCACAGTGATTCCATCTTCTACAGTGGTTTTGACAATGTTCAGCTTGGCCTCCTTATGGGTTGACAGTGCGGCAGAGGTTGACTGAACCAGAGCAGCTAGGGTTGCCGCCATGAAAAGTTCCCAACGCATATTGAAGTCGTACAAAAGGAGTGTAGGGGGGAAAGAACAAAATGAAATAGACTACTGAGCGACGCCGTCATCCCAAAAAGAAAAAGAAAGATCTGCCATCGTTCTCGACTTTATATCCAAGGCCATATTCACCATGGGTCAATGGTTTTCATCTACTCCTCTAACTCATGACGGTCGTCCTGGCCTCGGAACTACTCTTGTGGATCGGATGAGATCCGTTCAAATGCCTCGCGTCGCCCTTGACATTGGTTAGATGTCATTGCTACGAGGCGAGTGGAACAAGCCAAGCCAAACACCGTAGTGGCTAGTACGTGCCATGCCTTGAAATAACTATCCCTCTTGATTTGAGTTATGATTGCACGATGATTGAACTGGTAAGGGTCCGCTCGACCGTACCAGCACGTCGTGGTGTTTAGTAGAGTGCTCTGGGTCCATGTGATAAACTCACCATGACTCGTTTTCTTGAATTGCGACTTGGCTGGCCTTCATCCATCCCAAAATCTATCCCTTCTCCGGAACGTCGCGAAGTACGTGTGCCAGGCTTCAGGGGTCTTCCCTACACGATAGGCCAAGCCAATTTCGCAACCGTCATGAGTTGTTGAAAACTGGGGTGCATCAGCTTCATCTCACGTGTTTTTCTCGAATTCTGCGGGTGCTACATGCTGATGCAGGGCGAAAATTATCCAATATTCAAGTACGGCTGCGATCAAAGCGCAGCCGCACCTGGACCCGAGCCGGAGAAACGACGGAATGAAAATACTAGTATGCAAGCAGTGTCACGTTGTGAAGGGGATAAACTATTTTCGGAATCTTGAACCATTCCGTCGGTTTTAATTTTATTCTTTTCTTTACGGTAAACGATCCCAGGTATGACTCGAGCAAATTGCGCAACATGCAGATTACAAAACCCCGGGAGTTCCGTATGTCGTTGATGTCTCGAATGGTTAGATAACTGGCCCATGCTAATGATATGCAGATCTTGTCATGGGGTATGGAAAATTTATAGTTGGCTGCTTCAGTTGGTAGAATAAAACGGTTTGGAAACCAAAAGGGTGCACCACCACCAGATCCAATTTCGTTGGCGCCGAGTGGAGAAAAAGACGCTTGAAACCTGGTATTATTTCAACGCATTTTGCCGACGCCACAGACTCCGCAGGCCTGTCGGTAACACGCAAACTTGGAGTATCACGGAGTACACCATTATTGAGCGTAACGACCTTCATCAGTCGATCTGCGGAAGCGCACAAAAGTCACAATGGCCAACTTCGCACCCGAACCCCCCGGCCGTCTAATTTCTCACTTCACGGACCGGTACGTCGCCTGGACAGATCCAACCTCACTGCCATGGTTAAAGAGACATATAGGTCCCGGGCTCAACAGGGCGATGGGTGGGACTCGCTTTGGGAGTCTGATGAAAACCATCTCTGGGACCGGGGGATGCCGTCTCCTGCATTAATCGACTTCCTTGAATCCAAGCAGGACCTCCTGCAGACTCCTTCGGGAAGACGACTTTGTGCCCTTGTACCTGTACGAAATCCCCCCGTCCAATGGTAAGTAACTATACAGCATCGGTGTTGACGCGTAACACAGGGCTGTGGGAGGGGTTATGATGTGGCCATGCTAGCCTTGCACGGCTTCGACGTATACGGACTCGAAGTCTCTGCAAAAGGTGCACAGATAGCCAGGGACTATGCAGCCGGGGAACTGGCTGAACCGCAGGATTACAACTTTGGGAGCAACGGCCGGCCGAGTGGCCAGCCTGGCCGGGTTAGAATTATCGCTGGCGACTTTTTTGTCCGCGACTGGGAACAGACTCTGGCCCAGGACGGAGTCGAAGGCTTTGACCTCATTTACGACTACACGGTACGTCGCCACTGGGTTCGCATAAGCGGTGGATTGTAATTGCGTGTTGACTTAGATTTGGGAACCAGTTCCTCTGTGCTCTGTTGCCAGAAATGCGAAGGGACTGGGGCCGCCGTATGAGAGAGCTCGTTGCCCCAACCGGTATACTGGTGTGTCTCGAGTTTCCCATGTATAAAGACCTCAAAGCTGTAGGTCCCCCTTGGGGCCTTAATGGCGTTTATTGGAACATTCTAGCAGAGGGCAAAGATGGAGTTATTGAAGAGACTGGAGAGGAGACCGGGGCAGAGAATGGCCCATTCAAGCGGGTTATGTATTTCAAACCGCCTAGATCTTATGAGGCCGGTAGAGGCACTGACATGGTTAGTGTTTGGAAGCCTCAATAGCAATGTGTGATAACACTTGGACAATACATTCTGTTGAAATTGAACTGGCCAGCCCAAAATCCCGATGCCAGTAGTTACTTGCCTAATCCAGGCAAGTTGCGAGAAGAGGGGCCGACAAGACGCGAGGCAATAATGCAGACATACAGGCACAACGGCAAACCAAATAAAACGTCAATGCAAAGACGAACCAACCGCAAGGGAGAAAAAAGGAAGAAAAAAATCGGTGCAACCTATTTTTACGTCTGTAGGCAGGCAGGGCGCCACCAAGTCAAAAAAAGAACGATGGAAATCGTCGTGGAACGAGCTTGCTCCCGGCAGGGCTTGAACCTGCGGCCTCCGCATCACTAACGTTTATTAGTACGAAGCTCTAACCAACTGAGCTACGGAAGCTATCCAACGCTGTTAGGGGATCGTGGTCCAATTACAAGATATCAAGCACAAAAGATTTTTCCCAGCCACCAAACAGTTTGTCTATAAACACAGGGTTTTGTAGCCTCAACACTGTCAAGCGTCGTATTAGCTTATATTAGGAAGAAAGTGCCCTGTAACAGACTCCACGGGGCGATGCCGTCAAATACATTATGCCAGAACCCCCGAGTTTCCTTGCCTAAATCGCATGGTTTGCTTGCCCAGGACGTATGTGCAGCTCACCTTCTAATTGGCAACAGTCGGTAGGGGAGAGATGTTCGCGAAGCTATGGAGCAGATGAACAAGAAGTGAAATTGCCACGGACTCCACACACCAATCGAGGATGTTGAAAACACTATTTTGCACTCGGTGGAAAGATAACCCTGCAATAATGACCACAGAGAAATAAGGATAAACTACTCGGGAGAGGCTGCGCGATGCTCAACGTTCATTACGTTTTCCCAACTTTGCTGCTATTATGGATATCTGGGGTGAGCTTCTATATTGCTTAAACCAAACTGCCCGAGCAGGATGCGGCTGACGTCACACAGCAACATGAATCGTATGCCAGGTTTCTAGTGTTCAAGTCGCATTTTTGCAGTCACTCGTTGAGCCTTCCAGAACAGCAGGGGAGAGGTACTAAAGTGGAAGGACAGCAGCTAGTTGTGTCCAGGTGCATGTGACAGCACTTTATCCCAATCTCAAGGAGCTTTAATACTATATTGAAACACAGTTGCCACGACTGATGTGAATTTATACTGCAGACGTTGGTTATTCTGGCCATGAATGTAATTATTAGTATGGTCTAGCCATTGATTGGATGCTGCCGTGGTCATGGTTTGGAGGAGTAAGCAGGCAAATACCTGGTATCCTACGAGAGGAAAAAAAGACCCATCAGCGACTAAGTGGACGGAAACCACTTATATTTACTTGAAGAGACGGATAACAGGAAATAAAAAAGCCACTAAAAGTGAACCGCTAATAAACAAGGAAGAGTATAGGGTAGGCCTGCGGTAGTCTAACCTTGATGCCATAGTTATAAGGCAGAAAAATATTGCCAACACAGTCTCGTCGACCGCTCCTGACACCAAGAAGATTAATTTTTTGCGGGTGGCAGCCGAGTCGCACGCTTATTGCAGTTCGTCACTTCCACCTTCTGCCCATTGACACCTCACCCTTCAACCCTACCAAACCTTTGCAAGACAGCACGTCTTTGCCTGGCGCAAAGTTGCATCTTGCATCTCTCCTTCAGATTGAGAAGATAGTCGATCTATTTTCTTGCATCAACTCCACGACTGAGCTAGCGGCAACATCGCGAACCCCACAATCAAACGTTTCGACCGCGACCGTTCATCCTCCACCTCAACGGTTGCCCTTTGTCGGATTTAACGTGGGACAAGCTACAGAAATAAAAACAAAATCCACAAATTACAATGGCCGCCGCCTCCGAAACTCCCAACATGGACCAGCAGGTTGACCTTTCCACAATCCCCATCTCTCCCAACGGCAAGGGTGAGAGCACTGAGGCCAAGGACGGTGACAAGCCCGTGACTGTTTTCCACGATAAGGACAACTTCAATGTTAAGCACCCGCTTCAGAATAAGTGGACTTTGTGGTTTACCAAACCCCCGAGTGGAAAAGTAAGGACGCCAGTGCATTGAGCGCCAAGAATCGAGCATAGCTCTAATGAACCGCTTTTAGGGTGACAATTGGAACGACCTGTTGAAGGAAGTCATCACCTTTGACTCCGTGGAGGAGTTTTGGGGTGTCTACGTAAGCTTCCTCCTGGGTCGCAAGAGTCAATACAATCATAGCTTCTAACCCAATACAGAACAACGTTGCCCCTGTCTCTGACCTAGCCCTCAAATCCGACTACCACTTGTTCAAGGCTGGAGTGCGACCCGAATGGGAAGATCCGCAGAACAAGCATGGTGGCAAGTGGTCATTCCAGTACAAAGAGAAGCGAAATGTCGACATTGACCGCCTGTGGCTGCAGGTTATGATGGGTGCCATTGGTGAGACTTTGGAGGAGGAGGACGATGGCGAGGTCATGGGTGTTGTTGTCAACGTGCGAAAGGCTTTCTATCGTATCGGTGTCTGGACTCGTACTATTGGTAAAAGCATTCCGGGTCGTGGGGACGGCGATGTTGCTGGTGGCAAGGGCCGTAGCGGAGAAAAGAGCAAGGACATTCTTATGTCTATCGGGAGACGTTTCAAGGAGGTTCTTGAGCTCCCGAATAACGATCAGGTTGAGTTCTCTGGCCACTCTGATAGTGCTCATGCTGGCAGTACGAGAGCCAAGGCCAAATACACTGTATAAATGGAGTAAATTGCGGAGAGAGTCTAGGCGTTGGGGAGAACTGGGGGAAGATGACATGGAGGATCGGATATTCGCTGATGTACTGCTCGATTCCCCTTTGCTCTATCACTACATCGACACTGGCTTCACGGTTTTGACGACTGACGAGAATAAAATCGGCGGATCATCCTATTGGTGTGCTTGGCCAGCTCACATGCATCTGGCCAAGATGCTGCATTTTTAATTGGTGGTCAAGCTTCAAGTTTGAAGCTCGTTTCGCCACAGAAAAATTCTGTCTCTAATTGCGCGGCGGCGTTTGCTTGGTTTTGGTCAGACGGACAGCTTCGCCGAGGTAGCAGGTTTTGAACTTGTAATGGCTGTACCACAAATAGACTTCTGATATTTGGCCAGTCCCTTAATATATCTATTTATCTGTGTTTGAACTCCATGTATTTGCAATGCATACTGGTTGCTGGTGTATTTATTCTCCAAATGGGTCAGCTCGAGGACTCTAGATATCAATCAAATCGCCATATCATGTCTATATCATACATGCCTCTCTATCCAGGCCCCTCGCCCCCTCCAAAATCTTACAATGTTCATCCGAGCCCCGTGTCATTCTACAACTCGTCACCGCTGTGTTCATCCGCAAAGATCTCCTTCACGAGCTGCTTCTTATTAATCTTGCCCATGGCGTTCCTCGGAATATGCTCCACAATCTTCATGACCTGTGGAATCTTATAGTTTGCTAACCTGCTCTTCAGCGCGCGCCTCATGTCCAAGGGCGACCACTTCTGAACCACGTCCGTGTTGAGAATGAGCACAGCGCCGACCTTCTGGCCCCAGTTTCCGCTGGGAACTGCGACGACGGCAGCCTCTGACACCTCTGGCAGACTGAGGAGTTCGCGCTCTACTTCCAGCGCAGAGACCTTTTCGCCACCAGTCTTGATGATGTCTGCCGTAAGGCGGCCCTGTATGAAGTATAGCGGGCCCTTGGTCCACGGCTGGCTGTGGGAGGCGGAGGGGACGGAGCGTCGAAAGGCGACGTCGCCTGTTTTGAACCAGGAGCCGCGGCCGTCGGGGTCGGGGATGAACTCCTTGGCCGTGGCAGAGGGGTTGCGCCAGTATTCCTTGAACACGGTCGGCCCGCGAAGCTGGATCTCACCGGAGCGTTCGCGGCCCTGGGAATCGACCTCGGCGCCGAGGGGAATGATTTCACCCGTGTCCACGTCCATGAGACGTGCTTGGACCGAGGGGAGGGGCCAGCCGACGGAGGCGTCGATGCGGTCGGTGAAGGAGAGGCCGCAACTGAGTGCCATGCCTACTTCCGTCATGCCGTAGCGCTCGAGGAGGACGTTGCCGTAGCTGAGATCTGACCAAGCAGTCTTGATGGGCGTGGGGAGGGCGGCAGAGCCGGAAATGTTGACGCGCATGTTTGTGGGGGAGATGGCTTCTCGAGCGGCGGCTTGGAGGGGAGGAGGTAGGAGCTTGTGGCTGGCGAGGAGGCGGCTGTAGACTGTAGGAACGACGGTGAAGAAGGTGACTTTTGGTTTGGGAGGTTTCGTCGTGCCATCGGCGCCGTTGGTGCTGTTTGTGGAAAGGAATGGTGCCGCAAGACGTTTCCATACTGCGTCGGCGTTGAAGGGGAACATGAATTCGACGGACGAGCCGGCGAACAAAGGCGTGATGACGGCGTTGACGGTGCCATGGATGTGGTGGAGGGGGAGGACGTGGAGGAGGTGGTCTGCTGGGGTGTATTTCCATGCTTCTATGAGGGAGCGTGACTGAGCGGTCAGGGCTGATTGCGGCAAGAGCACGCCTTTCTAGGAGCTGGTAAGTATCCTTTGCTGCGTAGTGTTTGTATACTGTGGCGGACGGGTTTGGCTTACAGGTCTGTTGGTGGTTCCTGAAGTGTAGAGCATCAGCCCGGCACCAGCTGGATCGGAACCCTCCAACGGAACGATTTCACCCTTGCCACCACCCTCATTTTTCTTTAGTTCAAGATGAGCCGGCTTGGTAGTTAGATCCGTGGCCAAGACCTCTGCTGCTTTGGATGCGAACCTGGGCGAGGAGACGAGAAGCGCCGCTTCACTGTGGTCAAGGATATATTGTAACTCTGGCGCCGGGAACGCGGGAGACATTGGGACTGCAATGGACCGCGCTGCAAGCACAGCGAGCAAGGTGACTTGGAGAAGGAGTTAGTATGAGAACAAAATGGCTAATTGGAATATATAAATATATATATTTGTTTACAAAAAAAAAAAAAAAAAGAGGAAAAGGGCAAGAAGCGCTACGACAGGCCACTCACCAACATAGTCGTAGCTATTCTCAACGAGAAACGCTATTCTCTCCCCATTCAAGTCCTTCTTCCCACTGGCTTCATAAAATCGCTCCCTTGCCCTCCGTATATCCCCTAGCAATTCGCCGTATGTAAAGGTTCTCCCCGAGGAGGAGTGAATGACTGCGGTTGACTGGGGGTCATGTTTTGCAATGGCCTCGAAAATGGGCAACCGCGGCAAGGTGGTCAAGTGCATTCTCGAGTTGGAGAGGCATGAACAACACACAGTCACCCGCGCCAGAGAATAGCGATGCGAAGACGAAGAGGAGTACGAGGGTGAGACGAGGGGAGGAGAGGAAGCTATGCGCCGGAGAACCGGTGGCAGACTGCGTCGGAGTGTCATGGGCAGAAACAGGTCGGCGCAACAACAGGCGCCGAGGTGGTGTTTATCGCGCCTTGTCGCCTTGTTTCTCACTTGCAGTACTCGGTCCACGGAGTAAGGAGAGGGGGAATGACGCAGCCAAACCGGACGGAGGAAGTGGAACCAGCTGCCCAGGTATGGACGGAATATCTGCACGGCGCCCAGGTCGAATCAAGCGTGGTTGGGTCCCCCGTGTCCCGGCGTTTCCAGCTGAACTGCTTGATGGTGCGATGGGGAATGGTAAGCTCGAGATGATGTGGGCTTCGAGGCTGCCGTTTGCGGCTCAACGCTGGATGGTGCAACGCTGCGTCTCGGGCCAGTGTATGCTGTGGCTGGGGGGAAAAATTAGCATCAGAATTAAGCAACGGCAAGACTTGGGATGCTTTCAAGCAAGGGCTGGCCTTGTTGATGTTGAACGAGTTGAGGCATCCGATGGCTCCATTCTTCTGTGGGACGAATGTAGAAAGAAAGCAGCATTTGGGGGCCGGCATGCGCAACGGCGGAGCCAAGACTGACTGACAAGCGGAGAAGCACTACCGAATAATGAATGTCGGGTCATTGAGCAGCAGAGAAACAGTCAGACGTTGTTGGTTGATTGTAGCCAATTCCTACATTGAAGGTGTCAACTGATTCTATTGTTCGGAGCGCAAGTACCTAATCCCCCTGGCTAAGTCGGAGGTCGCAATATTGGGCTGACGTTATAAAAACATTGGAGCAAGGCGAGTCACACAACAAGGCAGCCAAATCCGTCCACTCACCGAGCTCTGTCCTCCCCCTGTCACAGACAGCTGATTCTGGTCGTCTGAGGATATTTTTGGTTGAGCAGAATACTCTGACGAGACACCTGGTTTAAGCGTTGGCTGTTGGGAGCCAGTGTCAAGCTGCTTCACTGCCGGCATCTGCACCGCGACTTGGGCGGTCGGTTTGTGTCACCACCTTGACGCCTTGACCACATTGTCGCTTCCTCCATTGCCGAATTTGATCATGTGCAGAAACAAGATGCAAACTGCCTCACTGTGCGCGGGCCGAGCACATGGGTACCTGATTCCTCTCCCACACTCCCTCTCAAGGAGGTGTTGCACCACGCCCAGCACGCACGATTCATCAAGTGAGCCACGCCATGTCGGAGGCATGATGCAGCATTTCAGCAGCTCGTGCTTTGAACAGGGGCGACAGCCTGGTACACCCATGTGGGTAGCATGAATAGCACGAATGAGTGCATACAGAGTGTCTCGATGCCATGTAAAACTTGTCCTTGGACTGGATGACTGGGCGGCGCAGATCGAGAATGCAACACCAAGCACTTCCTGTCATCTAGATACTAACAGGCACGTCTCAGCTCAGGAGTCCGGTCGTGGTGGTACCGCATTGATAAATAGTATTTCTTTTTTCATTTCATTTCTTTTTTTCCTTCCTTGCCGTCTGCCAGTTCTTTCTCTCTTCTCATGATTCCTTGTCTTGTCTCTTGTCTCGCACCGTTTGTCGCTACCGCAAGAAGCCTGTCAAAAAGAAAAAAGCTTCATGTACCGCCACGCCGGCTCCAAGTCCCCACGTACCCAGAAAACGTGCCTGATGCTCCACTGCACATGCAGCCCCGTCACCGCTCCATGGCCTCAACGGCCTGTCATTGGGCCCCCTCCCGGCCCAAACCCGCCCCAATGGACAGTGCCCATGCAGCAGCGCAGCCTTCTTGGTGACTGGTCTGCATGCCTGCTGCTCTCTCACCGACTTGACCGAAGAGACGGGGGAAGGAAAAAAAAAACAACCAAATGAGCCGACTTCATTGGCAGTTTTGATCCCGCTTACAATACGCATTGTAGGTGCATCCGACAAGAAAGCGGAGAGAGCCAGGTGCTTTGTCCTGGGTGTTGTTTTCCTCAAGATTTATTTCTTCTTCTGCTCGTCCTCGCTCATTTGGTCTTTTTTTCTGGCCTCTCATCCTCGCCTCTCTTTACCCAATTGACTTGCCTAGAAAGTGGCGGACCGAACAACACCGTCCCGAGAACTTCGACGTGCTAGACTTCACCTTCTCCCCCAAGCGATATCGACGCTGTACAAATTACTACTGCCCCGAATGTTGCGACGATACGCCCTTGGTTTCTCGAATGTCGGGCGACAGCTCTCCACCATGAGCTCTAATACGCCCATGGAGGATGCCATCCGTGCAAAGGTTGGTGACGGTGCCAGGCGTGGCCGACGGGTCAATTGTATTTTTCCCACCTAATACTCGTCGGAGGCTAACTACCATTGGGCAATTAGATTACTGCTGCTTTCGATCCGCAGACCCTTGAGATCTACAACGACTCCCATCTCCATTCCCACCACAAGGCCATGCAGGGAGTCACTTCCAAGGAGACTCACTTTAGGTACGACCATCCTGGACCTCACACCGCCTCATGTCCCAAGGCACCACGCGGACCTCTACCGCGCCCACCATGGCACCACGGCTAATGCTAGATTCCTAGACTCGTTATCACGTCGGAAGCCTTCAAATCCAAGATGCAGCCAGCCCGCCACAGAATGGTCTATGCCCTCCTCCGGGACGAAATGGCCCTCGAGGGCGGCATCCACGCTCTTCAGCTCAGGACCCTGACTCCCGAGGAAGAAGAGCGCCAAAACAAGAAAAATGCTTCTGAAGCTGCCGCTAAGGAAGAAGAGGCCAAGGAAGCTTGAAAAAAAAAAACCCGAAAAACCACCCGTCCCATGGAGATTCAATGACAGGAATGCAACGCGAGAACGACGTCTTTTTTTTTCTTTTACCGAAAAAAAGTTTAATGACAAAATAGCAGCAGGCCCTGCCACGCTCGGGAAGTGTCGGATGAGAACGCAACGGCGGCGCTTGGGGAGGGAAAACAATATCCTTTTGTTTAAACTGGAAATGACGCAACGGAACGCTTTTTAGAGACGACGAAAATGGATCTCCTCAAGGAGACGTTATGAAAACCCTCAACGGAAGTATATTATTGTTTCTATTATCATTGGTAACGCCTAGCTAGATCAGAAAGGGCCCACGCACAATAGACACACGTCTGCCTCATGCATCCTTCAGTCATGACGATCAGAATACCGGGGTATAATAGCTATTTCCTTGTAAGACACCAACTATCATCTTCATACATTCCAGCGTCAATTCGAACCCTCGAAAAAGTACTGTCGCGCAGCCGGCGCTACGTCGAACCATGCCGACTCCGTGAACTCAGCGCACCACTGGCCTTTCTCCTTCTGAAGTGTTCTCGTAGCAGGGCCTTCCGTTCTTCAGCGGATTCATGCGTCTGCACGTCACCTTTACTAGCTGATGCTAATCTCTCAAAATACTGGGATGTCCTCGGCGCTTTCGACTTCACGGATGACGGGGGTGCTCTATCCGGCAGTTCAGGCGCATCGGACCCTAATTCTGGCGACGGTGGTGAAGGACGCTGCCTCTTTGCAGGTCGAGGGGGCGATATGTCTGGTGTCGGGACATCGGCGTTCACAACATCTTCTCGGCCCAGTTGCTCTCTCGGCCCTTGCACCACCTTCTCGTTCCCAGATTCCCTGGCCTCGTAGGAAATATGTCTCCTTGCCCTAGCAACCTCATCTGGAAACATGTCCAGCACATGTTGTAAATTTTGCTTCGTAATTACCATCTTGCTGTACTCTGGCTCCCCTGGTAACATGTTGAACCATTCAATGGCGGGTAAGGGCTCCTGTCCTGCCCGCGCACCGGTCACGTATTTTACGTATTCTGCAGAAAAGGCGCGGATGAAATCGTCGTAGAGGAATTCGCGAAGGGCACGTAATGATGCGAGGTACTCGAGGCAGAGGCAGGCTTTGACGAAGTTTTTGAGGGTGCCGTTTTGCGAAGAATAGGACGGGTATGTGGTTGTGAAGAGGGTGTAGGGGTTTGAAGCGGTGACAGGAGAGATTCTCTGGTTGACGAAATGCGCTTGAGATTCCGTGGCTATACATGTTGTTGTAGGCGCAAGGGAGCGAGGTTCGCCGTTATACGGGTTTGGGAGAGGGATGGATGAAGCAGGGGGAGGGGCGGCGGTGGTAGAGTTTTGGGTTGATGCTGTTGAACATGTAGCTGGGATGAGGGAGCTGGATGAGGTAGATAGCGAGCTTTCTACTTCCTTTATGCGTAATGTGTTGGGGAGACGGGTGAATGATGTTGATGCGTTGACGGGCTTGACCGGGGTGGTGTCGAAATCGATCCGCTTGAATCTGTGAAGCCGCTTTTGTTGTGTTCGGGGGTCAATGGGAGCAGAGACCCGATTTGTGTCCACGGTGCCGGGGATGACGTTTTGGTTTAGCTGAGCACAGGGCGGAGTCTCGGTTTCCACGACTTGTGAGGCTATATTCATAGCGGGCGTGGATGTTGCTTGCGGTCGGGTGGATTCTAGGTTAATCCTGACATCAGGTTTCTCGTGAGCTTGTAGGGGTTGCATGTCCATTTCGTCTTCTTCCTCATCTTCTTTCGGGGTGCTCACGGTCAGACGATGGGGTTCTGGCTGGGGAAGCGTATTAAGAAGTCCTGGCTTCGGGTTGGGCATTGGGGTTTCCTGGACAGCTTGTGATTGACTTGGTGTTGTTAGGGGCCGTTCTCGAGCACCTCGATCTGGGGAAGTCGACCACGTTAAACGGCTATGGGCCTCCGAGGAGGTTGAGGACTGGCTATCGTTCTGTTCATCATCGCTGGCCTCTTTCTGTTCCTTGTCCACCTGGTCCTCGACGCTCTCGACTATTCTGTCCTCATTGTGGCCTTGGATAGCTTCAGGGAGGTCATCTGCATTGACGCTTCTGTGCTTCTCGGCACACTCATCATTTCTCCCTCCGCTGCTTGGTTGAACCGTCTCGGAGAGTTTGTTTATATTCACTGGCTTGCTCTTGCGCCCCTTTCTTAGCAAAAAAGCTTCCGTCACAGTCTCCAGCACATGGCTGGGAACATGAGGTTGGCCCTGACGCTGATTTGCCTCCACGGCCCATGAGCCGTCTTTGTCCAGAATGTTTCGCTGGTCCTTGGGTATAACCGTGAGACCACGCCGCCCCAACAGCGCTTGGATGTCCTGTTGAGGCGACGACGTAAAAGACATGACGACGAGGCGAATACGAATAGACGTCTAGGCATGTGAATAACTGCATAGGTGGGTGGCGCCGACAGCAGGGTTGGATTTCATCACATCCGAGCTGACTAGACTGTACAGATACATGACCTGCAGTGACTTCCCTAGTGTTTGGAAAGGTTCCACGGGTATTGCCTACTTCACTGGGGGGCTCTGCGCTGCTCAATAGATCCGAATGCTCCGTGAGACTGTCGGATCGCAGATTTCGTTTTAGCTTGGGGCGGCGTGATGGTGACGAGCAAGATGCGCAGGATTCAGTACACATCACTCCGTGCAGTACTAACTGCAGAGCTCCGTGGGGCCCACTTTTTGGCAGTTGAGAGCCGGTGGCGCATGGAGGGCCTAGAATTTAGCGGGGATTGGCAGCGCCCAAGCGACTATCTGGAGTCGATTGGGCCTAAAGACCACTAATGCACGCTGCAGAGACAGCTATCTGACTGGACATCTGGGGATTTGGGTGGGCATTCTGATGGGACCGCAACGACTGCAACCAGACGTGGCTGGACCTCTGCAGTCTGCACTTGGAAGGTTTGCTCATGGATGATGGCATCGCGCTGCCTGGCACAGAGTCCCTTCTATCCCCAGCCAGCCACGCGTACATGGCATCTAACATCCCTGTCGACGACGTCGTGTGTGTCACTGGCAAACATCCATCTCCAACAGCAGGTTCGGCCAGGCTGCAGCTGTTGCCAACGGCTGATCTCCGAACTTTCCAAAGGGTTCCCCGCGACGCACATCAAGTTCAATCCATGTGTGTGGTTTGCAGACCACCGCATTCCTCCCGTTTGTACGACACCACTTTCTTGCTCAAGAACATTGCTTCGCTTCGTCTCTGACCATCCCGCGCCGGTTTGCCATTCGCCTACTGGCTTGTCACGTCAGTTCTGTGCGTGGCGGAAGTCTTACCCGGATACGAGTCGTCGTCGTCGCAAGCTATAAACCACAATACGCCTGTCGCCACACACTTCAATAGGCCTACAAGAAACCGCCGATCGACTTCGATTTCCCCTTCACTTTGCAACTGGCTTTGCCCTACCCCCACGTTCTTTCTAACACATCATGGGCTTGTCAAGTCGCATAACATGCGCAGAGCCTTTGCGAACCTGATCCGAAGTCGACATATCCCTACCGCCTATGGCACGATAAGCCTCCTGTGTCTCCAAACACATAATAACAGGGGCCGGTATACGGCCCTTGCAAGATTGCTGGCATGGCAAGCAGCACTACCTCCAAGGCGACGCGCCCAGCCTCGCCGGCAGCTTCTATAGGACTTGGCTCTCCCGTGAGCTTCCGAAAGCGACGTGGCTCTACCAACTCGATATCCTCCACGATAGATAAAGAACAGCTGGCGCAGGCTCTCGACCAGATTCACACATCGGCTAGTCGATGCGAATCCTTGACTACCTTTAACGACTTTGCCCCTCCTCCAGAAGGAATTCCAGCTTCGGAGAACAGGTCAGGAGCCGGGGAGTTGGTGCAGAACGGCCTCAGTGGCCTGTATAATCGATTCCGAGAGGTGGTAGGTGGTGGCAGCCCGACCAAAACCATCCCAAAGGAGGCAAAAGAGAGTAAAGATGGCTCGGGACAGACATCGGAGATTGCTTCCAAAAGATCGTCCGCAGCGCCTGGCCATAGCTCTCGGCCCTCTGTGTCGTCCCTCACGCGAGTTGACACAAATGCTACCATCACGACAAATTCGATATCAACCATAGCTTTAACTGATGTGTCTTCTCCAACTACCGCGTCTGGGAATGTGGATACTCGCCCGCAAGTACAGTCGACCAAGTCGAACAGCATCAATCTCATGACCGGACCACGATCCAGCTCGACTAGTAGGCAAAGCTTACCAACCAAAGCTACGAGTTCCGTCGTTGCTGACCCTACAATTGCTCCGCCTCCTCCGCTGAAGCGAGATGCGAGCCGTAGTACTATTCGTACCGAGGACAGTGGAGGGCATGGTTCTAGCAGGAGAAGCCTTACCATAGCCGAGCTTCAAGCAGAATCTGCGAGTCTTTATGATGCCAAGGACGGGAGACTACCGCCTCGAGCTGGACGGGATGATGAATCTAGCGTTGATGGCAGCCTTGATGCCCCGTTTAGTCCTGTTGCAGGTGCGCCATCGACAACCTCAACCACCAACAGCCGCCACCGTGCTCGAAACCCTTCCGTCACGTCCTCTATGTTGCACCCCGATGACATGAGACGGACACCCGCAGTCATCGATAGGATAAGTCGGTCTCGCTCTCCTAGATACCCAGGTTCAAGGGACTCTTCACTTGACAGAGGAACTGCTGCGGCCAGTGCCATCAACACATCAGCACATGACTCGGTCTACCATGATTCCTTCGGTCAGGAGATTCAATCACAGCATTTGCATCCCGATTTTGGACGGATCCCGGGTACCACGAGCGGCCAGGAGCGTGCTTCTGACCAGATGAATGCTCAGCTTGACAAAATGCGGAGACAAGTATTGAGCAAGGAGTTCTGGATGAAGGACGATACTGTTAAAGAGTGCTTTCTTTGCCAAACACCGTTTACTGCGTTTCGGAGAAAACACCACTGCCGTACTTGTGGTTGTATTTTCGATTCCAAGTGCACCACTGTGGTTTCCGGCGAGAAGTTCGGCGTTCAAGGGTCTTTGCGAGTATGCAAGAATTGTCTCGAGGTTATTAGCCGTCGATTCGATGGCAGCGGCTCTGACGACTCAGGGGACGAGCGGTCTTTTCTACCCAAAATATTTGGACCAAATAACCCCAAGGAATCTTCTGAAACTCTGGAAAGCAAATCCAAGTCCATGACATCAAGCGCAGCTGTTGGTTCTGAAGGATCGGAGGATTCCCGGCCCCTGACGACACCAATGATGGCGATTCCGGCTACTCGGCGCGTGAGAGATTCTGCCAACAGGGCCTCTGCCGTATTGGAAATAGGAGCGCCTCAACTTAGTCGACCCGGTTCATCCCGCTCTTTGAAATCGTTAACAACGTCTGGACGTCCACAGTCATCTGCTGGTCACAAGCGCCATCATTCCAAACATGGCTTTCTTGGAAGATTCAAGCCAGCCCCAGAACAACAAGCCCCGTTCCGAAAAGGAATTGATGAGGAAAGCTCAAAGAAACCAAAGTTTCCCGCTTTTCATGATGATAACATTATCGATCCAGATTTAGCGGATTACATGTCGGAAGACTCTAGTGGAGACGAACAGATGGGCATTTTTGCAACCATGGCAGCATCGGATGTCCAATCTACAAGCTATGAACACGATAGATCTGCATTCCCGTCCTACTTGAACCAAACTCGGAAACATCGTCATCGGCCTGGCGAAAAGAGCATCAGTGGCATGAGCTATGTCAGCAGAGGTGTCTTGGATGATACCAATGGCCCAATCAGTCTATTGAATCATAGGAGGTCAACTCGGCGCCGGAATCTCAGTATTAGTGGAAGTGCTCATCATCACGGCTCTCCACGGCCAAAGTCCGCTGTGTACAAGGGGCCATCTGCGTCTTCAGAGGCGCTCTTTGGGCTGGAGCACCCCATTCAATCGGGGACGCAGCTGACCCGAAGTGACTCTTTGCGTAGAAAGAGGATTTCTAAACAAGAACTCAACCGGTCCAGTTTGAAACATGTTGACAGATTGCTTTATCAGCTTCTCGATGATGCTCAAATTCCAAATCCGGGCGCATGGCAAAAGTCTCTCGTACCTATTCTACTTCAGCTCACAGACGATGTCACCCCCGATGTCGCCAAAGGAGAAGACATGGATCTGAGACATTATGTAAAGTTAAAGAAGATTCCTGGCGGACGACCGGGCGATACATCGTACATCTCAGGGGTAGTGTTCACAAAGAATCTGGCATTGAAGAGGATGCCACGGAGGATTACGAATCCTCGCATCGTACTTGTGACTTTCCCTATCGAGTATCAGCGTCACCAACAGCACTTTATGAGCCTGCAGCCAGTAATCGAACAGGAGAAGGAGTTTCTACGAGTTGTCGTGCAACGTATCACCAATCTTCGTCCACATGTTTTGCTTGCACAAAAGGGTGTATCAGGAGTTGCTTTGCAATATCTCTCGGAGGCTAATATATCCGTGGCGTATAATGTGAAAGACACGGTCATAGAAGCCGTCGCTCGATGTGCCGAGGCTGAAATTATCGAATCGTTGGACATGCTGGCACTCCCAGTTCGGGTTGGAAGATGTTCTGCATTTGAAGTGCGAACATTTGTGAACAATAATTATCCGGGTAGAAAGAAGTCGTACATTTTCCTCTCGGGATGCCGTCCTGATTTGGGATGCACAATAGCCTTGCGAGGCGCGTCTGGTGCGTTACTGAAACAGGTAAAGCATATCATGGAATTTATGGTCTATGTTGTGTACAACCTGAAGCTAGAATCGAGTCTTCTTCGAGACGAGTCTGTCGAACCCCCGGAGGACAGCGAAACCTCGCTATCAAACTCACTTCAAGGCCTGAATGAGAGCTTCCGCTCCATCAGCTCAGCTGGGGAATGCTGCAAACAGGGGCCTACTGTTGTTGTTAATCACCCATCCAGCGAGTCTGAGCCGCCATCACAGGTCACGGTGGACAGCGTGAGCACAAATCCTGAAGATGCTGAGCTTGTTGGACAGGCCGGTGGGCAAACCCCCGAACCAGCCAGAATGGTATCTTTGCATGCCAATCATACACACGCCTCTCCCGAGAGTCAAGTACCTGACGATATTCCGATGCCGACTTTTTACAGCGACATGGTAGCAAAATACGAAACCAAGATTCTGTCCGCGTCGCCATATGTAAAGTTCAAGCAGCCTTATCTTCTGATGAAGGCTCGTGAGCAAGAAAGGAGACTCCTTTACCTTCGGCGACTTCGTGATCAAGATGCCGTCGAGGAGGATTCGGAAAAAGCAGGTCGCCACAGGTTCCAGTTGATAAAGCCTGAAATGGTAGAGAAGATTGGGCAGAAGGCGCCACGTCAAGTTATGGAGGTCCTGCATGCAGTCCATGATGCGGAATATGACAAAGCCCTCTTCAACTATCAAACTCAAACGCGCCAGTGGGAGGCATATATACAAGGCAATCTTGACTTGTTCGACCCGTATTCTCACCAAAATATCGTGGTTCTGTACTCGGTTATCTGTACCGACACGAAGATACCATGTATAGAGCCAGGATTGGTGGCTATCAACTTCTATGATGAACAACATGTTGATACGGGCATGGATGCTGATTGCACACTTGGCCAGTATATCGAGGATTTGGCATACAGCAAAAACGATATTTGCAACTCCAACGGTTGTGAAAAGAAACTAGTTGACCATCATAGAACCTACGTTCACGATGAATATCGTATCACTGTTTTTGTGGAACACGTTCCAAATCCTTCTCCTCGGCGCCCAGAGCTCGGTGACGGCATCACAATGTGGACATATTGTAAGCTCTGTAAGAAAGACTCCAAAGAAACAGTCATGTCGAATGCAACTTTCAAGTACTCATTCGGGAAGTATTTGGAGCTTCTGTACTGGGGCCGCGGTTTAAAGCTTAAAAACATCGAAGACTGTCCCCACGACCAACACCGCGACCATGTTCGCTACTTTAGTCTCCGGGATTCCCGGGTGCGAATTCATTGGGACCCCATCGATCTTCTTGAGATAGTGGTTCCGCGAGCAAGGATAACTTGGAAAGTGGCAAATGACTTGAAGCTGAAGAATGAGATTTACAACAAAATGGAGGAACGATGGAGCAAGTTCATGTCTTCAGTTCGAGCTAGACTGAAGAGCATTCGCACGGAAAGCCTTTTGCCGGAAAAAGCAAAATCTTGCAAGGCTGAGGTGGAAAGACTTATGAAGAAAACCCAAGAGGAACAGCCTGCCATCATCCGACAGATGCAGCGTACGTACGTCGAATCCAAATATTATGAAGTTGTTCCTTTCAACAAAATTGTTCGCGAGATGCTAGAGAAAGCCGGAGAATGGGACCAAGCGTTTTCCAAGTTCGAAGCTGATTTCCTTGGTGACAAGGATATGCGGCAGATTACGATGATGCAACTGAAGAAAATCTTCACTGATAATGAATCTAAAGAATCTCTTGCCTCGAACGATGGAACTGGTTCGGTTGGAGACGTTGACGACCGGCCATCCCAAACATCCAATGAGGCCGCGGAAAAGAGTACACAGCCAACCGAGTACACCGATACTGGAATGGAAGCTAGTGTCGCGTCATCCAAAGCACTGGATGCGAAACATGAATCTGAAGACGAGAAGATTTATATCCCCGCTGAAGGAGTAGTTGAACGAGTAGAAGGACTAGATCTAGCTGGATCCCCTGAAGCAATCGCTACACCTGCTCCAATTTCTCCAAGCCCGGCTTCTACTGAGACAACGTCCCGGATTCCTATTGCACAGACACCGGCGACTTCACGGCCCCCAGCTTCGCCCACAGGTGCTGGGCGACATCCAACAGACACCGCCATCTCTAGCCAGTCCCTGTCGGAGAGAATTGATCAGATGCGACGCGAACAAGCTATGCAAGGCGCTGAGGGCAATGTGGTTGCAGCGAAGGCTGTACCAGAACGGGGATCTAGCCGCAAGTCTGGCCCCAACATCTCACCACCTATAGTCCGTGCAACATCCCACCCTATTCGAACACTGCCGAGGCCGCAGCCTGCTGCCGCCAAAGCCAATGGGTCAAAGGATAGCAAGTCTAGTACGACGGCTGATTCAGGCACGGAAACACCATCAGAAGGATCTATCAAGGTGGACAAAAAACTCTCAGATCGCCTGGGATTGACTGCCCTGAAGAATCGCAGTAAAACTGCAACATCTGGCATTCCACGCCTCTCCCACAAGAAGAAAGAGTCCAAAGTTTCAACACTGGCTAGACACTTTGAACAGCTAAGCCGAGAATTTGAAAAGGAACGCATCCGTGATCGCAAAGAAAGAGCAGCGAGTCTTCGACAACCCCGTGCCAGACTACCGAGAACGTCGACAAAGGCTATTGTACAGGTTTATGGTGATGTTTCCGAAGCATTTGAGGAGCCACTCCCGACAAATGAGCAGATACCGGGTCGAGATGGTGACCAGAACCAGTCCAACGTCCTAGTAAAACCAGAGGCTAGTGTTCCAAAGTCGGAGCCTGTAGGCGAGCTGCCCACACATGCAGAACCAAACATCAAAGTCGATGACCAAACAGCCAAGTCGGAAACCGATCATGCGCCAGACGGAGAAACAAGCCAGGCGACTTCGGATGACGAGGCGATGACAAGTGACATTGATTCCTCTATTGCTGATGAATTTCTCCCTGATCTTCAAGAGTTGGCAGAGGCTCTCGAGCCTAGTACTGACATCCCCGACGAACTTCCCAAGCACCAGAAAACGAGCCTTATGAAGTATTTAGCGAACTTTTGGGCCGAGACATCGGCTAGTGGATGGCCGCCCCTGGAGTACCCAATCAACCCTACTGACCATATTTTTGTGGATTCTGACATTATCGTACGGGAGGACGAGCCAAGTTCTGTCATTGCTCTTGCATTGAATAGTGACGACTATCAAGCCAAGCTTGCAGGAATCATGCGCGATAACCAAGACGTTCCAGAGCTCGAAGTCGATGGAATCAGCGATGGAGAGCCAAAATCTTCACCCATGTCTGATATTGGCGACGGGATTATGTACGAAGCGGACTTGGAGAAGAGTTTGCTTCGAGTGACTGGCACTCATCTCAAGTATCAGTTTAAAGAAGGCGCCGCTATTATGACGTGCAAAATCTTTTATGCGGAACAATTTGACGCTCTGAGGCGAAAATGTGGTGTGGCCGAAAGAATTATTGAGTCTCTTTCTCGCTGCCTTAAATGGGACTCGAGAGGTGGCAAGACCAAGTCCGTGTTTTTGAAGACTCTGGACGATAGGCTTGTCTTGAAGGTAAGACGGATTTGGAAATAAATTGTGACCTGTCCTAACGCGTCAATAGAGCCTGTCTCCAATCGAAACGTCCGCTTTCTTGCGTTTCGCTCCTAGTTATTTTAACATTATGGCGGAGGCTCTGTTTCACGAGCTACCATCTGTAATTGCCAAGATGCTAGGGTTCTTTCAAGTTATCATAAAGAACCCAACGACAGGAACCGATGTCAAGCTTGATCTCTTGATAACAGAAAATCTGTTTTATGATCGGTCACCCACGCGAATTTTCGATCTAAAAGGATCCATGCGGAATCGCAAGATTCAATCAACTGGCGAGCAGAACGAAGTGCTTCTGGATGAAAATATGGTGGAATACATTTACGAATCGCCATTATTTGCGCGAGAACATTCCAAGAAATTGCTTAGAGCGTCAGTTTGGAATGACACACTGTTTTTGGCTCGGCAAAACGTCATGGACTACTCATTAATGATTGCGGTTGATGAGGAGAGGAAGGAGTTGGTCGTAGGCATTATCGATTGCATCAGGACATATACTTGGGACAAGAAGCTAGAAAGTTGGATCAAGGACCGCGGGTTCGCAGGTGGCGGCCGAAATAGGCCAACCGTTACAAGTCCCAAGGAGTACAAGTCCCGATTTCGAGAGGCTATGGCTAGGTAAGTGGCTCAGAGCACCCTTCGGCAGGTTTCTGTCACTCATACCTTTATCGCAGATATATCCTCCAGGCGCCCAACTGCTGGCACTTGTTCAACAACCCACAGCTATCAACAAACTATGCGCACGCGAGATTTGAAGAACCCGAAGTAGGCGCGAATTAACGAAGTGACAAAAAGTGACATGATTTGACAAAGTGTTCGGAGTTGATGGATAAGGAACATCACAAGCATCATACACGTCACACATGAGTTTTTCTTTGGGGTTTGTTCAGCGGGTGCTGTTTACTAAATTATTGCACGCACGAGTTGTAGTATAACTACTTGGTGCCATGTCGGGTTATCAACTATAGCTATCACGATATTAAGCGTTATATTCTTCCAATACCCATTTCTATTGCTGCTTAGAAAGTCGTGGATGTGTAATAAGCTTTTCTGTAACTCGCAAACTGCATGAGCTTCGAATGACAGGATCACCTAGGTGCCCAGGCACTCCGTAGTATGTTAACTTAGAAGCCTGTTCGAAGCTCATGTGGGCTTTGCCACTTAAGGTGTGGGCCTGAACGCTGGTTGGCCAGATCAACCACCGCCCATCTATTGATCTCATCTCAAGCACGAACTGCCGACATCTGCCTCTGCTCTTCCACCCTTCCATCACTCATGCCGCCATGTCCATTGACCTCAACTGGGAAACACTAACCAGTGGCCCAGATGGCGACGCCCTCGCCGAACGCATCAGGTCCTTCATCCACGACAAGTTCCAAACAGTACCACTCCCTCGGTTTATCAGGTCCGTCACCGTCCATGGCTTCGACTTTGGCACCATACCACCTGAGCTGGAACTAAAAGACATTACGGACCCGCTTCCTGACTTCTACGAACAAGAGCTAGGAGAGGACGAAAGTGATGATGATTTTGGAAGCGACGAGGAGGCAGCAGCGCATCTTGCTGCCGAGCGGGCTAGGCAAGCTCTCGCCGGGAACAGAAAGCGCCCCAGCGGCATCAGGACCGCATTGAAGAGCGACATTGGGGGACACGATTTGGGAAGTCCGTTTCTTGGAACGTCTACTCCGGGTATACTAGGCGGTCCGGGTCTAAACTACCTCCAAGGCCATCTGGGCACAGGCACGCATACACCCCTGGCGGCCGTCGCAGGCGCCCACCTCGGAAACTCATGGATGGCCCCCGGCACCCTCGACTCCTCCGACTTCACCAACGCTGCAAGCCATCACAGAAACCCCTCGCAAAGCAGCATATCCGTTGACAACTTCTCCGTTAACCTGGAAGGCACATCGCCGCCACTACGCGAGAAGTCAAGCGTTTCCACGCTCGCCCCTACAGCAGTGAGCATGTCTCGGCCTCCCACCCGAGACACACACCTCGTTGATTCTGCTGTTGACGAAGACGATGATGGACGGCACGCGGCACTAGATGCGAGTGCCGTTGATGACGGTTTGGCAGCGCATAGGAGAGAGCCCAGGGTGGAGGATGTTCAGGCTGTGTTTAGGATATGCTACGCAGGGGATATTCGGCTGAATCTCACGGCAGAGATATTACTGGATTATCCTATGCCTAGCTTTGTTGGTATCCCGCTGAAGCTGAATATTACGGGCCTGTCGTTTGATGGGGTGGGTGTGTTGGCAAAGATTAGGAAGCGCGTGCATTTTTGCTTCTTGAGTCCCGAGGATGCCCAGGCCGCTGTTCGGTCGGTGGACGGGGGCGAGGGTAGTGGAAGTAGAGGAGAGCAGGGCGCGAGGACGAACACCAGATTCGGGGGCTTGCTGCAGGAGATTAAAGTTGAGAGTGAGATTGGTGAGAGAGAAGGCGGGAAACAGAGCCTCAAGAACGTTGGTAAGGTGGAGAGATTTGTGTTGGAGCAGGTGAGGCGCATATTTGAGGAGGAGTTTGTGTATCCTAGTTTCTGGACGTTTTTGGTATAAACACTACGGGTCAAGGCCAGGCGTTATGGTGGTTCGGTACATCATGTGAATACATGCAACGAATCTAAAATATTGAACATGTCCAGCATCTAAGATTTGCATGTCATCAACGTTACGCCTTGGGGCTTCATGTCAATGTTCTTCTGAATCCTTGATATGCCTGCTGAATGTCCAGTTCCAACTCCCTGGCTTGCTGCTCGCTCAACTCATCCGAGGCCTTCATCTGATTTAGCGTAATCAACCACTGCACAATCTTGCCTCTATTGTCAAAGTCCTGGTCTGTGACGCGGTTCACAGACTGAATCACATCGGATAATAGAGGGTGTAGCTGGTCTTTGGACAACATGCCCAGCTTAACGGCGTCGAGAAAAGTGATGAATTCTTGAGTTGCTTCGAGAATGAGTACGCCGCTGGTATTGTTGGCAGCTGAGGAGGCTTGCTGGCTGGGGGCGGAGGACGATGCCGTTACGGTGGTCGATGGCATGCCTACACGGAGACGTTCGGTGGCACGGGGTGCTTGGAGCTGAGAGTAGTCAGTTTACAACAATATGACGACATTACATTCTTCGAAATGTGGTGAAGCGTACATCCCACTTGGCTTTGAACTCTTCTAGGCCCTGGAACTCGGCGGCGATGGTCTCGTCTGCCAAAAGCGTCTTGTACTGGCGCAACGATCGCTCGCAAATCTCGGTGTATTCCGCTTCGGGAATCGCATCCTTCAGAAAAGCCTTTTCGAGCTCGTCTAGCGTCACGATAATGCTGAACAGCTCTGCGAGGGAGTCTTGGAGATCACGCTCAGCTCGAGAGTCTGTCAGCTTGACTTCCTAGTTGGGGCGTTAGGTCAACGGTAGGACGGCCAGGCGCTCGAGAGCTGAGATACTTCATCTAGATTAATTGTGGCTGAGAAGCTGCTATTTGGAACATAGCTATGCGGCGTGGGCGCATAGCCTTGTCGAGGAATCATGGCGGCGGGTTAAGGTGGCACATTGAGCTCACCTTGACGACGCGCAACGTGTTCGAGAAGTCCATGGCCAAGCTGTCGGAGCTTGGCGGTGGATGACGATGGCGGGCAGATTGTTGGCAGAATAGGTCTCACCGCCTGCCCCTGACGGCGGGGCTCGTACTATCGATAAGCCAGATCCCGAAAATTTTTGGCAGGTGTTGGCCATTGACCAGACGTATTGGCCTCGAAAAACCCAGGCTCATTCATTACTCCATCAACGTACACCTGCGGGCCAATTCACCACCACTCCTCGTGGTGAGACACTGCCAACCATGGGCCCCGGAAAAAAGAATCTCAAGGCGACCAAGAAGTTCGAAAAGAACCACCTCAAGGGCGTTTTGGACAAGAGAAAGGCTGTTGCCAAGATCAAGCAACGACAGCAGGTCAAGGATAAAAAACAAGCCCGACGAGCAAAGGACGCCGAGTTTTTCAAAGGCACTGACGATGGATCTACCCCAGATAAGAGATCGAATGGCGCTAAGGGAAAGCAGAGCGGTGAGATGAGCATCGACGATTTTTTCCGGGGCGGATTCGAAGAGATTATCGACAGTAAGGAAAGCAAAGCTGGCAAACTTGGCAAGCGCAAGAGAAGCAAGCCCAAGGAGGACGAAGAGGAAATGAGCGATGGAAGCGGCTCTGGTGTAGATATCGGCGGGCCGCCAGCAGCTAGTGAAAGCGAGGACGGCAGCGAGGATGACGACGAAGGCGGTATGAGCAAAGAGACCATGGATAAGCTGGCCGAGAAGGATCCTGAGTTTTACAAATTCTTGAAAGACAACGATCCGGAGGCATTGGATTTTGATGATGACGCGGATTTAGCAGAGGTTGATGAACTCAGTGCCGGCGAGGATGAAGACGAAGACGAGCAGCCCAAGAAGAAGAAGCAAAAGAAGGCCAAGGCCGCCGCGGCGGAACAGGACCAAGAAGACAAAGAGCCTTCTCAGAGCAACGAGTTGACTCAATCCACAGTTGCTAGCTGGCGAAAAGCCATGGAGGAAAAGAACTCGCTGAGAGCAGCTAGACAAGTGGTTCTGGCCTTCCGATGCGCCGCTCACTTGAATGAAGACGAGAATGATGAGGGCGAAACCCAGCAGCGATGGGCTATCAACAGCCCAGAAGTCTACAATGACATTTTGGTCCTGGCATTGAAGCAGATTCCTGTGGTCATGAACCACCATCTGCCCATCAAGGAGTCTGCCTCTGGGAGGCCCTATGTGCAGATGGAGACCAAGAAGTTCAAAACATTGTCACTTCTGCTCAAGTCCTACACCTCATCCATCATGTACCTCCTCGGCACATTGTCCGATGACAAGACTCTCAAGCTGACCCTCTCATCCTTGACACCCATTCTTCCGTACCTCCTCTCATTCAAAAAACTCGTCAAGGCACTGTCCAAAGCTGTTGTCAACTTCTGGGCCCAGCCGGCCAGCTCAGAAACCACCCGAATCACAGCGTTCCTGGTCCTCCGCAGGCTTGTTGTAATCGGCGACAAGGGCATTCGTGAGACTGTCCTCAAAGCAACATACCAGGGGCTTGTCCAAGGCAGCCGCGTCACCAATCACAACACCATCGAGGGCATCAACTTGATGAAGAACTCGGCCGCCGAGCTCTGGGGCATCGACCCAACGGTCGGATACACCACGGCCTTCACATTCATCCGCCAACTCGCCATCCACCTCCGCAACAGCATCGTCAACAACAAGAACGACTCCTTCCGCATGGTGTACAACTGGCAGTTCACGCACTCGCTCGACTTCTGGTCCTGCGTCCTGGCCGAGCACTGCTCGCCGCTCAAGGAAGCCGAAGCCGGCAAGGAAAGCCAGCTCAAGCTCCTCATCTACCCCCTCGTCCAGGTCACGCTCGGCGCCATGCGCCTCATCCCCACGGCCATTTACTTCCCGCTCCGCTTCCACCTTGTCCGCTCGCTGCTGCGCACCTCCCGCGCAACAGGGACCTACATCCCGCTCGCCTCCCCGATCCTCGAGGTCCTCTCCTCGGCCGAGATGAAAAAGGCGCCCAAGGCAACCACTCTCAAAGCCTTCGACTTTGCCGTCGCCTACAAAGCACCCAAGTCTTATCTCCGCACCCGCATCTACCAAGACAACGTGGGCGAACAAATTGTTGAGCTGCTAGGCGAATTCTTCCTCCTGTGGTCCACGTCCATCGCCTTCCCGGAACTAGCACTCCCCGTCATCATCCAACTGAAGCGGTGGCTGAAGCAGGCCCGCTCCAAGAGCCAGGGCAATAAGAACGCCAAGCTCGTTTCACAACTAGTCACTCTCGTGCAGAAGCTGGAGGCGAATGCAAAGTTTATTGAGGAGCGCCGCGCCAAAGTGGACTTTGCGCCCAAGGACCGCGCGCAGGTAGATGCGTTTTCGAGGGATTTTGATGTCGCCAAGACGCCGCTGGGGGCATATGTCGTGAATCAGAGGAAGGCGCGTGAGGAGAAGAACAGGATGTTGGAGGAGGCGAGGAAGGAGGAGGAGAGAAAGAGGAGAGAGGACGAGAAAGGCGCCGCTGAATATGAGAGCAACGAGGAAATGGAGGTTGATGATGAAGACGGGATTGACGAAGAAGAGGACGATGACGAGGTTGAGCTGGAAGGCGACGATGAAGACAGTGAGTAAAGAGCATCACGTAGTATACAACTAGAACCGGATACCTAATTTCCTTGCTACACGTTCCATTACACACAATCATGAGCGGGGGGTCATTTGTCGTTCGCATTCTTGACCTAGCAAGCTAGGGGATATACACTGCATCTTCAAAACAAAACTCATCCATGCCTTTTACCCAAAACTCCGTGGGGAAGATAAATATACCCATTGTCCAACCGGAAATGGAAAAGACTGTGGCGCCATGAGAATACGCAATGCAACGCCAATAACACCAATCCCTGATAGCGGTCCGCAAATCCAACTCCATTTTTCCTGCCAGGTTCCATGAGTTCATTCTAGCAATGCTTCGCTCATAACAGTGCACAGTTATTCTATGCCAATCCCTAAATCATGCATGTATGCCGTCTGCTTTGAAGTAGTCTCTTGAATGCCTTCCCATGTGAATTAAGGCTGACATCCATACTTTGTAACAGCTAGCGCGTCGTGATATGTTGCTTTGAGTAGTCACATCTCGCGGTGATGGCTGGACATTAACGTCCTTTTTGGACACGCTGAGTGTCGCGTGTATGAGCACGATAATAGAGAGATTATGAACTAGGTCCGAAGGGCATCATTTAGTGCGATTCATTAATCCTTTTAGACACACCCTAACACGGAGTGAGATAGCCGCGTCTTGATTCGTCAAGTCCTCAGATTGGACGTCACCCGTCATATCATCGTCTTCGTTGGTAAGATCCAACTCAGTCGTCGAAGGTGCTCTGACATGTCGTCGCTTGCTGCCCTGGTTCGCTGTATTGCCACTACTTTTGTTTCGGAGGACCGACTTCTCTGGTATCGAAAATTCCACAACTTTAGATAATGCGCGGGGCCTACTTCTGGATCGGTGTCGGTTGCTACTTGTACGCCGGGAAATATCCCGCGTTTCTTGTTCATTGGTGTATCCCTGAGTGGTCACTTCAGGCAGGGTGGGCATGTCCTTAGTCGCCGTGGGCTCTGCAGGATGAGACTCACTCGTCTTGACAGGCTGTCGGTTGCTGCTTGTATGCCGGGAAATATCCCGCGTTTCTTGTTCACTGGTGTAGCCCTGAGTGGTCACTTCAGGCAGGGTGGGCATGTCCTTAGTCGCCGTGGGCTCTGAAGGACGAGACTCGTTCGTCTTGACGGTAATATCAGGGAGGAAGTATGCTGATGTCATATTTTCCTCCGTTTCTTCACCTAAGCGAGCAGAAACCTCGTTCTTGTGTGGTGGCCTGCAGTGGTCAAGTTGCTGTTTCAGGAAGTCAATCTCCTCCTTCATCTTGAGATTCTGTTCGTGAAGGTCATGAACACTACGCTCGAAGCCCGTGTTCTCTCGTCGGAGAATCTTATTTTCGTTGAAA